ATAACTTACAAAGTGATCACCCTGATAAATCTAGTACCCATCTGACACCATACATAGTTATTATAATATTATTGACTATATTCTCTATGTTATACTTTACATCCCCATGACTATTTTGTAACTACCAATTTGTACCTCTTAATTCCTTCCCCCTCTTCATCCATCCCCACAAACCCCTTCCCATTTGGCAATCATCAAAATGTTCTTTTTTATGGCTGAGTAATGTTCCATTATATATATGTACCATTTCTTTATCCATTCATCCATTGATGGACATTTAAGTTGCTTTCATATCTTGGCTATTGTAAATAATGCTGCAATGACCATATAGATGCATACGTCTTTTTGAATTAGTGTTTTTGGTTTCTTTGGATAAATACCCAGAAGCGGGATTACTGGGTTCTTTGTGTCTTATTATAGCCTCTGTTTTAAAGTCAATTTTGTCTGGTATAATTATTGCTATACCAGCTTTTTCTTTTCATTTCCATTTTCATCCCTTTACTTTCAGTCTGTGTGTGTCTTCTCACCTGAACTGCATCTCTTGTCAGCAATCAGTGATAGGTATTCGGAAACAAACAAACAAACAAATAAACAAACAAAACTACACAAGGGCAAAAAACTGGAGGAACTGTTATCTCCAGGGAAAACAAAAAAATTGTACAAGAAGACAGGGTAATTTTTCTGCCCTGCTTAAGGAGCATAGTAGAAGAAGTTGTGTGGAAGTTGTGATGTGAGTTAAATTCTCCTCTTCACTGAGGAAATTAAAAAAATATCTAAAACTGAAAACTTAATAAATAGCAATGTTACTTAGAAATAAAGAGGTAAATAGAAGAAGAAACAATGAAAGCTTCTGCTGAGTGAATCTGGTAGGATGAGTGGGGCAAAGAACTGCTGTTTATCATTATAAGTCTTGTAGATCGGTCTTTTTCGAGTCCATACATGCATTACTTTGATAATAAACACTAAATTAAAAGTTATGTGGGTCCAATGTAGAAAATTTGGAAAGAACAGAAAAGTATAAAGAAGAAAATAATAACCACTCTTAATTCTTCCACTCACAGAAAGCAACTGATGCACATTTTAGAGGAACAGGATTATTAAATAAATTTGTTGAGATTAAAGTCTTAGAGTTTGAAGGTTTAAAAATAGTATAACAAATATAAATGAATAAGATATAATACTGTACATGTAGGTATAATTACATACAGTATGATCATATACAATATGATCCCATATGTGTTTATAGGCATATTAGAAAATAGTCTGGAGGGATACCGACCCAAATGTTACTTGATAGTGACCAGGGCAGGCATCAAGGTGGGAAAGTGGTGTGCCTAGGACACATAATATGAGGCGCTCACTCTCAGGGTCATGCAAGTGCAAAGGGTGCACTTGGGTTTGAGTGCCTCTTTCACTCTTGTGCCCTAGGTTCCTCACTTGCCCCACCAAAGTTTGACTCTAGTAGGAACCTCGGTCTGCTGGGTCATGGGTACTTTTTCCTTCTTCATTTATACTTAGATACATGATTAGGTTCCTTGCTACTCCTAGTACGGTATGTGAACCAGCAGCATTAGCATCACCTGGGAGCTTGCTTGATATGCAGAATCTCAGCTCTGCCCAGATTTTCTGAATCAGAATCTGTATGTTAACTGAATCCCACAGAATTTGTGTGCACGTTAGAGAAGCAGTGGATTAGCAGGCACCAAGCACAGTTGATGTCATTGCACCAGTGGATGGGGCACATACTGCTTGTCTTTTACAGCAGCTGTCCCCAACCTTTTTGGCACCAGGGACTGGTGCTCCTATGAGATTCTAATGCCTGATGATCTGAGGTGGCATTGAGGTAGTGATGCTAGCGCTGGGGAGCAGCTGCAAATACAGATGAAGCTTCGCTTGCTTGCAGGCCCTCACCTCCTCTTGTCCGTGGCCCGGGGATTCCTGCTTTAGAGAATTTTGGTCTTTGCTGAGAGACTGAGCTTTGGCTGGTGAAGCAATCGAAGGTCAGTCTGCTGGAAGAAAAACAGGTGACTCCTTTGAAGCAATTTGGGACAATGAGAAGGGAGAGGCTAGTGGATCTGAAACTAGGGGGACAGAGCAAGACAAAAAAGTGCTAATGTTCAAACCAAGGAACTCGAGTCCCATGGGGATGAAGAAGAACTCAGTATACTATAAAAAGGTTACTTTTTCCTAAGAGATTTTAGAGAGATCTATTATAGAACTGAGGAGCATAGATTAGGTGAAGTATATTGTAATTATAATTATATGAGGGCAGAGACAAATATAGGGTGAGGTGAGCAAGACACCTCCTCCTCGTCCTCCACCAATCTGGCCAAGTATGACGGATAGGTTGGCAATATATAAAATATAAAGGAATCGACTCTGTTCAATGTTCCCATTAACCAGAAGTCAATTAATAAGGGTCCTGCCAAATGTCAGTTCTCCACTTAGATTAGCAAATTAAAAGAGAACAGCAAAGAAATATATGCTACCATGACAATCGTTATTGGCTGGATAACCCAATATTCATCCCGAATCCCTTTCTTGCCTGTTTTCATTGCAGAGTATAAAAAAGCTAAGTACTTGTCTTCTCAGGAAGGGTGGCTGTGTGATGCAATTCCAGTAGAGACCTCTGTGGAGGTCTTTAAAAACTGTATGGAGCAGCTACCATTCTTTCCAGAACAAATTCAGAGTGATCTTTCTAGGGCTTGGAGTAGGGTAGAAATTTGCCTTGGTACAAGATTTTATGAAGGCAGCAAATTAACTAAGCAATAAATATAATATTTTAATGCAATAATTTAAAAAATAAAAATTAATGTCAAAAAATTTCATGATGAATAAAATATCAATAAAGGCAGGATCTGACAACACCAGTACTAGAGTGAGGCAAATGAGGTCGAGTCCTACAAGTGTATGGTTGGATCACCCGAGGTTCCAAGTCATAATCTGGGGCAAGTGTAAGTGATTGGTGGCACTTAGGTTTTGTGCCCACTCCCTAGCTGCAAGGGAGTCTAGAAGAGAAAATAATGGAATTTTTAGTTTTGTAGTGAGAAGTGGGAAACACATGAAAGGGATTCAGGTAGTCAAAAAGGATGACAAATGTCCACTACACTTATTGGAGTTATGATAAAATGTCATTTTTTGGGTCCATGCAGAGAGCAGCATATTCTGGCTGTGCTATTTTGAGGAAAACTTTAGTAGTTATTAAAGTTGGGGTACAGATAGATCATTATAGGGATATAGAGAGCAGAGAAGACAATCCCTCTTCTGAAATTAGGAAGGTTCCAAGGAGAAGATAAGGTTTCAGTTGGGCTTTAGGGAAAGGAAAGGAGAAAGCAGAAAAAACATTGCATTTACAGTCAGAAAATGGAGTCCTGTTTTGCTACTTGGCTTACTAACTGTGAGAATTCAAGCATATCACTTTGGTTCTCTGAGTATTAGTTGTTTCGTCTGCAAAACCTTATCATAAGTTAGACAGAAAAAGACCGTATGATTTATATGTGGAATCTAAAAAACAAAACAAATGAATAAACAGAAACAAACTCATAGGTACAGAGAACAAACTGATAGTTGCGGAAGTAGAGGATGGGGTATGGGCTAAAAAGGGAGGGGGATTAAGAAGTACAAATTGCCAGTTATAAAATAAGTCCTGGGGATATAATACATGGCATAGGGAATTTAGTCAATAATATCATAAATCATAAAGAGTATGCACGGTGACAGATGGTTACCAGACTTAACTGTGATCACTTTCTAAGGCATATAAATGTCCAATCACTATCTTGTACACCTGAAACTAATATGTCAACTATTGAATAATAAAAAAACACCTAACTATGTAACTTTCCAGAGTTGTGAGGACCAACTGAGATAAAAATGAGTAAAGGTGGAAAGCACTGTGCAAACATCTTGCACTGTTATTAAGTTGTTAAGGATGGCTAGGACTTTGACAAAGGCATTGGGGGAGAAGGGCCTCTCGACAGAGAGAATGAAAGGTGAAATGGTTTTTGTATGAGGTTAGACAAAGAAAACTGGGCTTTGAAGTTTAGAAAGATGATAGTCAACGGAGGTCTATGTTTTTAAGACCATTAAGGAAATAAAGCCTGGGACCCCAAGCTTGAAGGATAAAACCAAAACCTATGGTTTCACAGTTACACAAAAGAGAGAGGCACCATAATATCACAAAATACCCTAATGAATGACGTGCACACATGCTTCTTTCACGTCCTAGATGGCCTCTTTGAAGACAGGCAGGGACCATTTATTTCCAAGAGCCTGACACTTTCTGGCTAAGGGCACTATCCTCCTTTCTTGAGGAATTAGTGGGTGCCCAAAGGCTAGTCAATTTAGGACTTCTTTACCCAATGGAATGGTACAGAGTAAGCGGTTACATGGCCTTGAAAAGCAGGTTCTTCTACGCACAATGGGACGCCCTCCCAGTGGCCCATGTCCAAACCTATGAGAGATCGCCTGATCCCAATGTAAGGAATGTTAATCATTACTTTAAGGAAGAGTAGGTGGGGCCAACGGCTGCAGCCAACCTAGTGCTCCAATGTTCGAAAAGCAAGGGAGGGGCGGTGGAACGACTACACGTTTCATAAAATTTTAGTCGAGAGCGAACACGCGCGCATATACACGCACAAAGGAGTGCATGCCAAACTGGTTAAATCCTAGTAAGGGCTGTACTCTGTTTAATTGTATTGGTCTAGTTAACTGCATCGCCAATGTCAATTTCCTGGTTTTGATAATGTAGTGTAGTTATGTAAGATGTTGAGGGAAGCTGGGTGGGTGATGGGTATGCGGGACTTTTTGTGAGTCTATAATTATTTCAAACCAAAAAGAAAAAAACCCAAACAACACAAAACACAAAGGAAACCTGCCCCCGGCCCCACCCACCCGGAGAGCGCGCCACACCTTACATTTCTGCCCTCACCCAGGGCTCTCAGCTTCGGTAAGACAGGGAGGGGGCTAGGTGGGTGGGGCGCGGCCGCGCACGCGCAGTCCTGAAATCCCGCCGCGTCTCCGGGAAGTCACGCTTGCGCAGTCTCGGCCCTTGGCCGCCGCGCCAGCCCCTCTCTGCGGCGGGGGACGGGGCAACCTTGGCCCCTCCGCGTTTCCGTCTTTTCCGGCAGTTGGGGCGCTTCCTGTTGTCTTCAGCCGCAACTGCCCCTCGTACCCTACCTCAGAGGCCCTCACCGGTTCCCTCCCTTCCTCTGGCCGGCTGGCTGCTGCCACTGGGGCTTCGCCTGTCCGCACTTCGAGACCGCTGGCCCGGCCGGCGTCTGCGGCTGTCCGCCGCCCCCAGTCCTGTCTCCCTCGGGGCCCTGGTGAGTGTCTTGCTGTCGCTGTCTTCAGTCCATCCCAGGCTTTTACCTTCATCTCCTCTTCCCGCTTGCGCCCTCTTTCCAGCCGTGTCCTCTCGGTCCCTCTCTCAGCCTTCTGACAGTCCTCCTCCCAGTCTCCAGAGGCTCCTTATCGGTCCTATCCACAGTTTCCCAGACGCAGGCTCCCCACCTCATCCTTTTTCTTTCTTCGTATGCAGCTGGGGCGGGGAGCCAGGCTCTTTTCTTTCCGTGTTGCCAGCTTTGTTAGCTGCTACCTCTCAGTCCCCTCCGGGATCTTGCTCATTACCAATTTTCATCTCCTTTTCTTTTTCTTTTTTTTTTCCCCTGGAGTTTAAGAACTTGAGAGCTGTTTTATGAGGTAGCGATGTCGGAAGCCCACCTTGAGGTACCTTTGACTGCTTCCTTCTCCATGGTTATTCTTAGGGTACTGGGCTTCAGATAACCTTAAAATCACAGGAAAATTTAGTGAAGACTCTTTTAAGAAGAGAATGAAAAAGGAAAGTCAATAAGGATTAAGAGGAAAGTCTGTCAGAAAGTGTGCAGAACGGCTGGCTAGTAGAGAGAGCACATCTCTCAGTTGCATTTTGAATTGATTACAAGACACAAAGACAAACTTGTTCTTTTTGAAATGTGCAGAGGAAGGTTGGAGTGAAGTAGACCTTGTGCTTCCTCACCCTCTCAGCTCACCTTGGTTCTAAATTAGAATTAGCCAGGCAGTAGATGTGGTTTCCCTAAACATGCAACCACCACAATAACATTAGATATTAGCTTCTTCATAAGAGGACCGGAACTCTTTCCTCCAGCTCTGTATAGAAAACTGTTCTATGTCTCAACCCTATCCCCATCATTCATATATATTCTCAACTCCTAGAAATGGACATAAACAATGATTTTTTTCCTAGTAAACCTTTTATAAGGTATTGTGCATGAGACGGGGGAAGATATTTAAAAGTATAAGACAGTTTGCTTGCTTTCCAGTGGTTTAGAGTTTAGTAGGAGAAACTAGATAGGTGACTCTTAAGGAATCGTCTTAACCTCAATGTTGAATTGTCCAAATGTAAGATATTGGATTGTCAATAACACAAAAATAAAGAATTAGTGAGAGAAGGGGTATTATAGAGGTAACAGAGTACCATTGTATAATCAGTCAACCAGGCATAACTATTTAGATTGAATAAAACAATGGTTTTCATTTTATCTCTTTTTACGTTCACAGTACCTACCCTGACTTATGAGGATCACGTTCTTTTGTAAAATTTTTTAAACTTTTAAAAATTTCTCAGCTACCTATTCTCTAATTCTGCAGAGTTGGATGATAATACAAATAGGGCAAGGGCTTCCAATGGCCTTTAGGTCAGGGCATGATGGTTTGAATGATTGAAAACACGAGGGAAAGCCCAGTCTTATAAAAAATACTTGATTGACCCAGCAAGCCTATCAATTGTTATATGGCAAGAGTAATTTTATCTTTCGATGAAAGTTTATTAAAATTAGGCTAACTATTTTGTGAGTGGAGGAAGAGGAGTAAGAGGTTTTGAAGAAAGGTTAAAGGGAAGGTCAGTGCACCTTGTGCCTTACATTAGAGATTGTGAAGGTTAAAAACCATTCTGCTAGAAAATTTGTCGGCCTACTACATAAGCATCTTTGAGTGTACTTAATCTCCTGTTGATCTTTTTGAAAGCTTAGTAAGTCATGCCAGCTACTTAAATGGGTCAGCCTCCCTACCCCCGCCCCATATTTATACACCCATAAATGTCAATGTAATTTCGTTCTTTTGGCCTTGTTGACAACCGAAAAATCATTAACTTGCTTAATTTATATTTATTACCCTCCTATTATATGGAAGGCACTGTTTGTCTCAGGCTTAAACTCTCTCTAGTTGTATTTTTAAATTGAAGTAAATTAAGTTGTTAAAATATCTAAAAGGTCTCCAGAAATTTTCAGACAAGGGAGGAGTGCAAAGTGCTCACTTGCTTCAGACTTGTTTTTAAATCTGATTTTAAAATTTCTTCACCCAACTTAGAGTGCATGTGGTTTTCATTGTGGGTGGAAGGGGTGCGAGCTGACAAATAAGGAACCACACCCAAGCTTTATAAGCCAAATAGAGGTATTAAAAAAAAATTCTGATGTTCTAAAAACACTTGCGTTTGCTTTGGTATCAGCAAAAACTTTCCATAAAAAGTAATATTTTATAGTGAGGTAGAGCTAAGTTAAATGTCTAAAATTTGTGATTACTGATCTTTTTGGCACATAATGAATCAAAATGTTTGACTCCATAGTAGAGCCTTGATTTTGAATCTCTTTGCAATGAAAAGATTATTATTTATGTGTTTTTCTCTGAGTAGACTTTATAAAATTGTATAATGTTAAGTCTTTTTTCTTAGTACTAACAAGTGTTTTTTGCACATGCCTTAAAAGTCTTAATTTAGTCTTCAAAAACAAAAAAGCTGCTAAGCATTAAGGGGACAATCAGAAATTTTTTTTATAAAATGCACTGTCTTTGAAAATGGATGTTGGCCTCTCCCAATTTTTACTCAGCTTTATTTTGGGATGAAAAGACAGACTTGGATTAAGTTGTATGGGTGGGAGGCATAACAAGGATAAAATATTGAGCATTATTGGAGCAAGTCAAGATTGGGGAGCAGACTGGCCAAGTGTGATAGTATAGGTTGGCAAAAATTTCTAGGGCAAAGTGAGATTTAAATTTAGGGAAAAAAAGTTCTATTTAAACCTGTTGGTATCAGTTTTCTCATGGAAAACTAGAAAGTTAGGGTTGCTTGTTTTTAAGATATCTTCCATCACTAAAATTATGATTCAGGTTTTTTCTTTGTAATATTGTTTCCATCATAGGCCTTCTTTAAATTTGTAAATTAAAATAGTGAACATTTATCATATACCATAAGACATGTCAGAGTATATATATCTATAGATCAGCATTTTAGTCATAGATTTTTTTTTAACCCATTCTTGCTTGCTCCGAGAATACTCGCGGCGCTTACAGCAACAGCATTTCCCCCAAGATAATTACAGTCCTAACCTCACCCCCAAAGTTTACCACAAAGTATCTTGCTTTTATTATTATTTTTGCATTGCTCTAATATATTGACAGTCTTTGGAAACAAATTATATTCTATTTATAGCATTCTGTTTTTAGTAGTGATATTTCCATTTACAAAATATAGTAATTCTCAGTCGTTGAAAATGTCAAATCCTAGAAAACATAGCATTCCTACACATGATGTTAAAGTAATGCTGGCAGTGAGCTGCATTATTTTTTTCTAAATGGGCAATGGGTTAAAATGTAGAATTCGTAAATTAAGTTATTGATAACTTAATGGTAATCATACATGCTTCTTGAAGAAAATATAGAGAATGCAGCAAGCAAAACAAGAATAAAATGATCTATTGTATTCTCACTGCCTAGAATTAAGCTACTAATAACATTTATATATATTTCTAATAATTCTGTGCACTTAAAGTAAACATATAAAATTGAGATCATGGTATACATTCTGTTTTGTAACCTGTTTTCACTTAGATTGGAAACATTTTCTCTAACATTAAACATTTGAACATATTTTCATTGTATGCATATTAAAAGATTCTTCATAATTTAATCAGTTCTGTTGTGGATATTCAAGTTATTTGTAGTTTTCCTTTGTTTGTAGTGCTGCATTAAACCCTCTTATGTATGATTCCTTATGGGTCTTTGATTTCTCCAAGGTAGATTTCTAGATGGCTGAGAATTGTACACATATGGTATTGTGATCATGTTTTCTTCCTTTTAAAAAATACAACACTGTTTTAAAGATATATTCATATCACTTTTAGGTATAGGTAGATTTGCTTCTGACTGTTGCATGGTATTTCTTTGTACACATCCACGGCATTTTATTTCCTTACTGAATAGCCTCCAACTTCCCATAACACAAATGATGGTATAATGAACATCCTCTGTAATGCACATCCTTGAGCTTGTTCCCTTAAGAGCCTGTGTAACAATTTCTCTGGGTTTTTTACCTAGAGATAGTATTGCTGGGTCATAGGACATTAATATATACTTATTTTCACCAAGTATTCTGTTTGGCTTTTTTCTGGCTATTGTTATATATTACTCTTTGTCCTCCAGAAAAGTTGTGCTAATTTACATTCCTACTAGTAGGGTAGGAGCACACATAAGTGGCAGATTCTAACTCAAAAAGTAATACTGCTTCTTTTCTTTGTTTCTAGCAGCCATGGCAATGACAGGCTCAACACCTTGCTCGTCCATGAGTAATCACACAAAGGAAAGGGTGACAATGACCAAAGTGACACTGGAGAATTTTTATAGCAACCTTATCGCTCAACATGAAGAACGAGAAATGAGGTAAAGAATTTTGTTTGAGAAAATTGTGTCATGGTTTTGTCATTTATGTCTGATATCATAAAACATATTCATAATATCGTCGAAAGGAGGCAAGAATAACAGCAGCCATGTTTTAGCCTATCCCATTACAATGGAATGACAATGTCATTGATTTCCAAAGCCCTTGTTATTAACCCACTTATTTCTACTACTATATCAATAACACAGAATTCCATGGTAGTAAAAAAATTAATTGGGCCAAATCCTTGGAGTTCATTAAGGCAGTGTCATGTGTTGGAAAGAATAGCTTTTATATAGTTGCACTTGGGTTTAGAATCCTTCCTTTACCATTTAGTAGCTATATGCGGCTGGAGCAAGTTCTTTAGTCTTTCTGTGTACCAGTTCCTCCATTTGGAAAATGGGAATAATACTACTTGCCTTTCAGGATTGCTTTGGGGATTAGATATAACATATGCGAATACCCACCATACTGCTTCATACCTAGTAATCACTTATTTAATGATGTAGCAGCTGTTGTTATTGATCTGGTATATTCTATTCATTTGGTAATTCATAATTAAAAATTTTCCCAACATTTTATTATGAAAATATTCAAAAGTGCAGAGAAGTTGAAATAATTGTACAGCGGATACCTGTATATACATCATCTAGATTGTACAGTTATTTGTTTTATCATATATCCATATGTCTATCCCTCTCTCCATTCATTAATCTAACTTTTTTGCTGTACTTCATAATATGTTACAGATGTTAGTATATTTTACCTCTGAATATTTCTGCTTGTATAACAAACTAGAGTTCAATACTTATATTTTTTTTAAGGAAGTGTAAAATTTGCATATAATGCAATGCACAGTCTTAAGGGTTACCATTCATTGAGTTTTGACAAATTCATGCATGTGTATAACTTAAACCCCTATCAAGATATAAAATATTACCATTATCCCAGAAAGTTTTTTTATTCCTAGAGATTCCCCTTCAACACCAGGCAACCACTCTTGTGATTTAGTTTCTACAACTGATTGGTTTTGCCTATTCCATACAAATGGAACATATAAATCAGGTACTGGTCAGTGGCCTGTTAGGAACTGGGCCTCACAGCAGGAGGTAGGCCCTCACAGCAGGAGGTAGGCATCAGGCAAGTGAGCGAAGTTTCATCTGTATTTGCAGCCGCTTCCCAGTGCTAGCATCACTGCCTCAGCTCCACTTCAGATCAACAGGCATTAGATTCTCATAGGAACACAGGTCCCTGTTGCCAAAAAGGCTGAGGATCACTGATGTATGGATTCATATAAATACTTATTTGAGTAAGGCATCTTTCACTCAGCCTAATGTTTTCAAGGTACATCCATGTTGCTATTTTATCAATACTTTGTTCCTTTGTATGGTTGAGTACCATTCTGTTTTCTGATTATACCTCAGTTTGTTTATACAGTCTTCTGGTAATAAACGTCTGGAATTTTTTCAGTTTTTAGCTATTTCGAATAAGTTTCTACGAACATTTGTGTATAGATCTTTTTGTGAACATTTGCTTTCAGTTCTTGAGTAAACATTTAGGAGTGGAATTACTGGGTCATAAACATACTATGGCATATGTTTAGTTTTATAAGAAATTACTAAACCTTTTTCCAAAATATTACCAACAATGTATGAGCGTTCCAGTTGCTTTATATTTGTTTCTAACATTTGCATTGTCAGTCTTTTAACTTAAACTATTCTTGTAGATGTTTAGGGGTATCTCACTGTTTTAATTTTCATTTCCCTGATGATTAAATGATGTTAAACATTTTTTATGTGGTTTTGGCCATTTATATATTTTCCTTTGTGAAGTGTTCAAATTTTTTGACCATATTGTAGGTTTTTGTTTTTTTTTTAAATCTATCCTAGATATTGGTCCTTTGTCATATATATGTTTTGCAAATAGTTTTTCCTAGTCTGTGGCTTTCCTGTTCATTTTTTTTTTTTAAATGTCTTTAGATGAGTAGTCATTTTAAATTTTGATGAAATCTAATTTGGCATTTTTTTCTTTTATAGTTATTGCATTCTGTGACCTCTAAGAAACCTTTGTCTACCCCCAGGTCATAAAGATATTATCCTATGTTTTCTTCTGGAAATTTTATAGATTTAGTTTTTACATTTAGTTCTGTGATCCATTTTGAATTAATAAGTATGTGTGGAATGAGATGGATATTGAGATTTATTTTTATCCTTATGGATATCTAGTTATTTTAGTACCATTTGTTACAAAGATTTTTTCTTCCATTTAGATTGCTTTGACATTTTTGTTGAAAATTAAATATCATATAAGTGTGTATCTATTTCTGGGCTCTCTATTCTGTTTCATTGATCTATTTGTCCCTATGCCAGTATCACACTGTCTTGATTACTGTAGCTTTGTGGTAAGCTTTGAAGTCAAATAGTGTAAATCCTCAAGTTCCTTTTTTTCTTCTATTTTTCAAGATTGCTTTGGATATTTTAGGTTCTTTGCATGTTTATATAAATTTTAGAATCAGCTTATCAGTTTCTCAGAAAAGCCTGATAGAGTTATTGTAATTGTATTGAATCTGTAGATCATTTTGGGGGAGAATTGACATCTTAACACTGTTGAATCTTCTGATACATGAACATGGTATATCTCTGCATTTTGTTAAGTCTTTAATTTTTCTCAGCAGTGTTTTGTGGTTCTTACTGTGGAGGTCCTTTGTGTCTTCATCTATTCATAGTATTTTGGGGAGTTTTGGTGCTATCATAAGTTGATACTCGATTTCGGGTTTGTTGATACAATTTAATAAGATCATTTCCGGTTTTATTTCAAGAAAATTTAAAAATTATCAAATAGTCCATGGCCATGCCACCCGGAACATGCCCGATCTCGTCTATTTTCGGAAGCTAAGTGGATAAGCGGGGTCGGGCCTGGTTAGTACTTGGATGGGAGACCGCCTAGGAATACCAGGTGCTGTAGGCATTTAAAAAATAAATAAAAATTATCAAGGAAAAACAGTGATTGACAGGAGTTACTGTAGTAGTAAGTATGCTAAAATTAGAGCTGTCAGACATGGATTCTCAAGCTTTTTGATGTTACCAGGGAAACTTAGATGCTTGCTAAATAAGCAGAATTTTAATAATGTGAGACAATTGATGATAAAGTAAACATTTTATTTTAAGTATATGGCTAATATATGATGAGCAGTTTGAAATAAGTATTGGGCTAGTAAATTTTGAGATCATGTTGTAGTACAAATTTTCATTTTGTTTGTATGTGCCGCGTCTGAATGCCTTTAAAATCTCTAGTATTTCTCCCAGTTAAATGCAACTTTTGCATTGTTCCTCTTATTGTAGAGCACTAGCTTAAATTTGAAACAAAGGAGTCACTGCAGGGGAAGATGAGACCAAAGCCTAGAAGTAGAGGAAAGAATAAAAATCACTTGGGAATTGTTTCCTGTATAAAAGTAGAGTAACAAGAACATTGGGCAGTGTCTTTTTTGTCCACAGCAGTTTCATAGAAACGCTATAGCAAGTTCTCCTGATCTGTTTAAAAACAATTGAACTGGAAGTCTAGTACCCATCACAAGGTGTTGCAGAACACCTGTTTGATAGTCTCCTGTTAATGCTACTGATAGACTATAAGCTGAATCCACTCAGTAGGGCAAGATCATCTTCTTCATTTAATCTGTATTTTGCCTTTGATGGTAAGCTTCTCTGGTAAGCTTCCCTAAGAACAGCAGTTCTTCTCTTTTCTATCAAATGTGATCTTAGGTACACAGTAGGTGTTGCTGTTTGCTTAGTTATTCATAAAAAATTGTTTGGATAATTTATATCAGAGTGAAATCAAAACTGAGGAAACTGGCATTTCCTCTTACAAATATTCTGTGTTGTTTCTGTTCTTCGTGACTACTCTTTTGCTGGATTAATTAAAGTCGCAAAATCCTAATTTAATAGGCAATAACAGTCTGCTTCTCCCCGCACCACACCCAAAAATCAAATAAGAACTTTCCTATGTTTTACCTAAACTCTGAGAACCAGCTTGTCCTTCTCCTCCTCTTAGATATTCTTACCCAGGTTTTCCTAACTGATCTTGATATATGTGAGCAAATGTCAATTTTATTTAAGCCCCAGGGATGGGTAAGTCTAGACCTCCTAATGGTATTCACCGATGATATATCAGGCAAAGCAATTTGTTGAGATTTTTAAAAATCTGTAATATTATTTTTATTTTTTATTTTTTTGGATATCTTGAGAATTTTCTCAATTTTGTTCAAGGAAATAATAACCACTGTTTATTTCTACATTATTTTTCCTGATTTTTAGTGTCTCATCAAACAAATTACACTCTTGTCTACACTCTTGTAGAATAGACTAGCCATTTTCTTCTATCCCTGCTGCCTCTGAATCAAGTTGTGCTGGGAGGGGAGTGTAAATTAGTCTTAGAAAAGGTAGCTAATTACAAGTAGTAGTCATGAATGAGTCTGCACATTAATATACATTCTGACCTTTTTTTTTTTTTTAATTTAGCAACATACATTTTAAAAGGTTACTGTGTTCAAAGCACTATTCTTAGTGGAGAAGGAAAATTCATAGGTGGTCTGTGCCTTCAAAAGAACTTACCATCCCATACATGTGGGAAATGGGCTCACATGACAATAAGTGGATCTTGTGGAAGGCTGTGCTGGAGTGAGGGTGGGTGTGGCTTCTAAGTGTAGAAGTGTCCTGTCTCTCTCCCGGGGTTCTGACACTTATATAAAGCTGTGGAAAACTTCTCAATTTGAATTTAGATTTAAAATATAGTTAGAAGGACTCTGTGACACACATTGTGTGATAACACATTGTATTATTAGCCCACTCTGGTGTGGTCTTTCAAAAAATACATAGTTAGAAGGTCTGATGTACTTGATACTCAAGGCACAAAAAGAGCTGAGCATGTTGAATTCTTATAGTTCTTGCCATTATGTTGAATCTTCTTATTCCATATTTCAACTGTTGGACCACTGAAATGGAATTAATTTACACTCTGGAAACTATCAACAGTACAGCTTTCTCCCTCCAATACATGAGCACATATAGATGCATATCTCAAAATATTCTGGGAACTAGAAGAAGAAAAGTGGGCAGACTGGGAACCCTGTAGGTACTTTCTTCTTTCTATCAGGATTAGAGTGGATCTTTTCACTTTCTGAGAGTTTGGACACATTCTTAATTCATCATCTGAGTCTGTGGATTCGTAATGTGATTTCTAACCATATATTCATTTTAACTAGGTACTATTAATGCAATAAATATTCATTGACCAAAATGAAACTCATCATCTTTTCATGTTCCTCTCTTTGTGTTTCCTATCTTGGTTAGTGGCATCATTATCCTCCCACACAAGAACTTCTAAACTTTACCCTTGACACCTACTGCCTATTGGTCATCTTTGCAATACCTCTCTTCACTCTAGTCTAGATTTCCAGCCCTAGTTCCAGATCTTTCCTGCACATCTGAATTCTTACAGTAGCTTTTAATTTGCCTCAGTCTGTCAGTTGCTCTTCCTGCCAGTCCATTAGCTCATTACTGCTGGCTGCCATTTTAAAATAGAAACCTTATCACATCACTTCTTTGTGCACAAGCCTCTGTAAGTTCTTATTGTCTACAGACTAAGAGCCGGCCTTCTTAGTGTGGCAGTAGAAGTGCTGTGTGCCTCAGCCACACTAGACTACGTGCTGTTGCTTCATGTACCCTGAACTTTTCTTCTTCCCTGTCCTGCTCTCATTGCCTGTCATCTAAAATTCTGATAAGTGGTGGAGGGGAGATTCTAGCCCATGTGCTGTCATTTATTATGCTGAATAAATAAAGTTTATATGGAATTGGTTGTAAAGAAGTTTTAATTGTTTTCTTTTAGTTTTATCAAATCAGTATGAGACTAGATCAAAAATATTCTTGAGTACAGTTTCTAAAATTTAGTACTCCAGGGATTTAGGGTCCTTAAGTTTTGTTAGTGGTGCGAGTCACCTTTTATGATCATTTTCCTCCCTTGAATCTTCAAATTCTGCCTTTACCTTTGTTGTTTATTACTTTTTGCTTTTGGCAGGGAGGAGGAGGAAGATGTGAAAATAAAGGAAGTAGATATCAGGGAGAGGGAGAGAAACACCCTGATATGGGAGGTTATCAAACACCAGCTGTTTTGTGGTTTGTTAAGGAGGAAATACATACCCCAGAAAAAAAAAAAGAGAACTTTTCATTTCGAAATAAGATTCTTTGTTGCATTAATGTCTTATACAGTCTTTTTCAAAATATAGAACTAACAGAGTGGGAATCTTTTCACTTGTCATAGTAACTGTAATTTCTTGTTTTAATGAGGCCTTTTGAGATTTACCTGTTTTTATCATTAAAAAATTTTTTTATGTTTTTGTAGACTTTAGAGAAAGTTATTCAGATGTTACTTTGCATGTCTTTATTTATTTTTAGACAAAAGAAGTTAGAAAAAGTGATGGAAGAGGAAGGCCTAAAAGATGAAGAGGTAATTAAAATTGGAATTCTTTTTTTCCTTTGAAACCCAGCATGGCAGGACATATCTTATTCAGCAATTTTTTAGCCTTAGTGCATGGGGTAAAGGTTTTGGCTCAGTAACAGAGAAACTTATGAGGACTGGTGCACTTTGGGATTTATATTTGTGTAGAGGGAGAAGTTAATTATGAAGTACTCAGGAGAGAAAGACATCTCTCTCCTGGCACGGTTATAATCAATTAATTAAGATCAAATTAGAATTCCAAGAAAAGAAAGAGACAAAATCAAATCAAAATTTAAAAAAGCAAATTATAGCATACTTATAGAATTCACTGAGAAGGATCCATAGTAGTGGGGACAAATTTCTGAAATCATTATCAAGGCAAAATATCTCTCAAAACAGCCCTTTCCTGCAATGCTCACCAATGTGGCAGGAGAAAATACAGTTAACAAGAAACTGCAAGAAACTGAAATGGCAGTGGAAATTCTTTCAAAAATAGAAATGAATCATAGAACTTCGGAAAATGGTGAATAATACCCCAAATTTGTAAGAATAATAGAAAGTTAGAGTGTAAAATGAACTGCTACGTGTAAAAAATGCAAAAATTAAAAAAAACTTATTTTACATAACAAAGGTTAAAGGAAAATGTAGATTGTTTATCTTTCATTAGAAAAGACAGAAGTCCTCAGAGGAAGCATCCATCTGTTCAGCATGCTTTGGTTATTGAATCTGAAGGTTGGGGAAGAGAGAAGTGACCTCTTAAAGGTCCTTCTGTGGTGCTTTCATGTGTGAAAAGATTATGCTTAGTCTAGTGTGGCCCAAATATGATTTGTTGCAGAGTTGCAGAATTTCAACTCCTCCCCTTCCTATCCCTCTCTCCCTTTATTTAAACATTAGAAACGACTCAGGAGATCAGCACATGCTCGGAAAGAAACAGAATTTCTTCGTTTAAAGAGAACAAGACTTGGATTGGAAGATTTTGAGTCCTTAAAAGTAATAGGCAGAGGAGCGTTTGGTGAGGTAAAAAACAAAAACACACAGCTACTTATCAACTATAAAAATAGCACAGAACTTCAAAGCTTCTAATATACCATAAGTTCATGATTGTTGAAATAACTGAGATATGGGGTAGTTGGATCAAGCACACTGGCCCCATATCTTAACTACTTTGTCCTCCTCACTTTCTTCCCCTCTTCCCTGTCCCAGATCTCTGACTGTTCTCTGTTTTTCCAGAAATGATATTGATGCTTTAAGTATTGATCTAGAAGTTGAAAGGTAGAAGGAAATCAGTATTTATTACTTACTGAGTGTTTCTCTCCTATAATCATGACAGTTCATATTATAGATGGCTCAGGGGAAATATAATGTGTCACATAGCCATTGAGCAGTGGTACCGGAATTTGGGCCCAGATTTTGGATCTTAAAGCTCTTGTTTTTCCTAGTACCACATTGCCTCTCCAGGAGTGAACTAACAGCAAATCTCCACCCTTTATTTCTTCCTGCCAGATTGGTACAGCTCTAAGAAAATAGTCCTAGAAGACAGAATTTATAGAAATGAGTTAGATAGGTAGTGGTAGAAAGTTGAAAGCATTTTGTAACTTTATCCCAGCTAATCTTGCAAATGCAATCTTGCTTGGTCACAAGAGCAATCTGTTGGGGAGGGTTTGAATGAACCCATACAAAGTCATCCCTATTAATGGAAAATATCCAAAGTGGATGATTTACTGATGCAATAGTTTCATCATCATTGTATAAAAAGAACAGCATATTATTAAAAAATAGTACCTAGGGGAATTGTGAATGCATTTTTAAAACAACAGGTGAAAAATTAAATTGATTCCTTAGTGTTCAGAATCCCTGTTGGCCCCTTAGAGGTAGAGATACAGTACCACCTCTAAATTGCTTTCTGTTCAGTGAAGAAGGGATGTGGGACTCAATCAGGAAAAACATGAAGAAAGGTGCAGGGAGAAGAAAACCTACATATCATGGGAGAGGAGTGGGAGGATGGTCAGGGAATTGCCAAGAAGTTTTTCTTTGGGTTGTACACCATTAATTTTAATTTATTTAGTCTCTCAAAAAAATTTGAGAAATTAAAAAGAGAAAGGAAAACTGCATAAAACCATATTTTCCTAATTATACATTATAGGTTTTTTTCCTTGCAGACATTTTTTTTCTATGCACAAGATTTTGCTATTGTTTTAAACATTGCTGTGATCATTTACTTAGGTTTTTTGAGCTGACTGCATGACATGTGCCATGGGTTTAATGAGTCCTTATGTTCGAAACTGAGAGTTTTAAATTAGATTGATTCATTTAACTAGGGAACCAAAGCTGTTCATACATGGAGATATGTGAGGATGTTTTTAGCACTGACTTCACTGTGTGTAATAACGTCCATTTTGTAACATCAAAAAGCATTTTCTTCTGCTTTGTAATGGCCAATTGCTTATGTTAAAATTGCAATACTTTTTCAGTTTAAATATTACTTTTTATAACATGAAGGCATTAGCTTGGCATTATGAACTTTTAACTTGGGATTTCTTTTATAACTTTTAGGTGCGGCTTGTTCAGAAGAAAGATACAGGACATGTATATGCAATGAAAATACTCCGTAAAGCAGATATGCTTGAAAAAGAGCAGGTAAAGCACAATTTTAGCAGCGATTTTAGTCAGCTTATGAACTTTTCGTCTCCTAAAACTGTTGTTTTTGCTTAATCGAAATATATATTTTCATTACAGTTTTCCTTATGTAGGAATATACGAATACTTTTCTTTCTCCAACAAATAAGCAGTTACATATATTTTAAAAGTACAGATAATGCCTATATGTTATGTGCAGTCTTTTTAAAGTTGAAAACTTAGAGAAGCATCTGCCGTTTGTGTCTCCCAGTTGACCACAAGTTGTCCTTGTCATGAGGATCTTTCTTTTGAGGTCACACCTGCTCAAATGTTCCTTACTGAATGCTAAGAGATAGAAATTGTATACATACCTTGGAACTTAGAAATTGTATACATACCTTGGAGGCTTAAGAATTAGAATTTGGAATGTGTGATCTAAAATGTGTCTTAATATACTTCATCATGTACACTGAAACCAAAGTTGGGTCTTCTGAGTAGCTCAGCATACCTAAAAGAACTGTCTTCTTAATGAATTTGAAAAAATATAATGTAAATGGCACAGCGAATTCTTCTTTAATGATTAAGAACACTTTCTAAAACCTAAACCTACTTTGTAAATAGGTTTATAAGATGCGTACATACTTTATGCAAAATAAATTTTAAATATTGGACAGTATAATAGAAATGAGAATGCTGACTATCTATAAATCTAGTTTAATTTAGCAGTCACTTAAGAACAGATTGTAGTGGGTGACTGCTGCAAATATCCTCTAAGAGATGCTATAGGAGGACAAAGAGAGACCCTACAGCAAGGAGAGCTCTGGATACAGAGCACAAGAGTAGGGATGGAGACTGGAAACTTGGAATTTATATTTTCTCCTTAATTTTCATGTTACTCAGAAGCTTTAGTAGACTGCCAGGAATTTCGGTTGAGAGTATCAAATACCTTGGCAGTGAATCTTCAGACGCTATAGTCTATACTGATACCAACCTTATTAAAAATGCACAACAGCCCTATTTATTATATGAGAATTAGTGTGTGGTATGGGTATAGGCACTGAAAGAATTTCAGTTGATCTTGAAATGGAAAATATAAAGCCGTATTGATTAGTTAATATATTTTGTATTTTACAAGTAATTTTTATTTTTACAAGACATATTTTCTATAGGTTTAACCAAGGCTTAAAACTTTTCTTTATCAAATAATTAGCGCATGTGCCAGTTGCCCAGCATGATAACAGAGATGATCCAAACATATTGTGTAAAAACATTTTCTCAAGTATTGTATCTTCTTCAAAATTAATTTCTAAAATTTTTTTACATGTAAGTAAAGGGAATGTCTGTTAGAATTAGGATTTGCTGTTGGAGTCAACTCCCTAACTTTGAGCTCAGTATGGTCAAGTTAAAATTTCCGGACACAGACTCTTCCTGGGTCAGCCATCTTGAAGAAGCAAGCAACAGACTTGTGCTAGGTGAGAATAATGAGACCAGGACAAACCCATCACATTTAGATAGGGCTGACAAAGTTTAGGTTCAGAGCCTAGCTTTTTGTAGGTGTAGGTACCCTATTTAGAGGAAAAGTTTTTTGTTTCCTTTTATTAAACTGAGCAAGAATTAAAGCTACCCACTGAGAGTTCAGGTTGTTCTGTCTCACAGGGTAGAACTTTTTGCTACCTGGAAAATAAATTTTAAAGGGTAAGAGACCAACATTTAGCTAGTTTCTTCGTGTTTCTCTTCTAATGCAAAAGGAAAGCCTCCAGTTGTGATGCCAGTATAGTGTTAGGATGAGACAAAAGACTGACTTTTCTCTCTTTCCTAGTGCCCAGGATAGCAACTAGCATGTAATTCTCCAGCCCATTAAATATTTATAGAACGGGAAAGGGAACCTCTGGTGTGAGTTCCAGCTCTGGCTCTTCTGTCCCCTACCCTATATTCACCTAACTTCATTCCTAGATCTTGAGGTTCCTAGTTGCTGTTTCAGCCCCAAGAGAGAAGGGCAAGGTGTACTCACTGTGACTACAGTTTCTCCCTTGACAAACGGAATTTTGCAGTCACCATTCTGTCCTCCAAGGTGAGCGACAAGTGGTAGTAATAGTGCCTCACCGTTTCTCTGGCTCCCAGCAGTAGGGAGAAGGGAGGCAGAGGCAGGTGAAGGCTGCCTTTTACAGCCTTCGTGTCTGGTAAGGACTGGGTCATAGCCACGGCTGCAGTTCAGCAAGTGGCCTTAGTGTTTCCCAAAAGCTTTGCTTCTGTATTAAAGCTGAGTAAAGGCAGATGCTTAACTCGGCTTCTTCACAATTTCATAGCACTGTTTCTTATCACCCTTATCTTCCATTTTTTCCATCCTCATACTGTAAATAGAGATGTAAAAATGTAAAATTTTCTGCTATTTAAAAATTTCCCAAAGAACAATTTTAGTAGAGATGGAAAACTCAAGTAGTATGTATACTCAAATGGCTTCAGGCCCTTTGGAGTTAGCATGGAAGAATGAGGCAGGTTTGGTGTAAGACAGGGGAGGGGTGGTGGTATCTGTGTCCAAATGGAAGAAGAGTGTCTTGCTTTGCCAAAGATACTTCAATAAAACAAACAAGCGTGTAGGACATTGTATCAAACAAAAGAACAACCGTACCTGAGTAGTGCCAGTATTGCAAAACTCAAGCCCTGTAGCACATGTTGACAAAAACCTCTATTCAAGGATTGTGCTGGGTTTAATAAATTTATGTCTGATTCAGCCCAACTTTGCATCTTATGGCACTTATATGAGGGCAGAGGGAGCAGGATTTGATAATATGCGGTACTGTTTTTATTACTGTTATATATTTAAAGTAGATAAGGTAAATTTGATAATAAAACATTATTTTAATGAAGTAATTCTATCAGTTCTCCCAAACCTTTGGCAACTTGGTCTCTTTAACTAGATATTTCAGTAAAAGTAGGAAACTGGAAACTTTATAAATTTGAATCTGTAACATTTCTTAGGTGTTCTTCTTTTTCAATTCAGTAAGAATTCATTGAGCATATACTCTGCACAGTACTGTTCTGAATGCTGTGGTATATTCTAGGATTCTCAACCAAGGCACTGTCATTGTAGATATCTTTGCAGGCCTGAGCCAGGATTTGTTTAGAGAGCCTCATCTTGAGGCTTATTTTTATCATAAAAAATTACAATAGTCCCCCTTATCCACAGTTTTGCTTTCCACGAGTTTAGTTACCTGTGGTCAGCTGTCTTCTGAAGATATCAAATGGAAAATGTCAGAAATAAACAGTTCATAAATTTTAAATTGCACACCGTTCTAAGTAGTGTGATGAAATCTTGCACTATCCTGCTTCATTCTGCCTGGGACTTAAATCATCCCTTTGTCCAGTGTATCTGCGCTCTATTTGTTACCTGCCCATTAGCCACTTAGTAGCCATCTCGGTTATCAGAATGACTGTCATGGTTTTGCAGTGCTTGTGTTCTAGTAACCCTTATTTTGCTTAATAATGACCTCAAAGTATAAGAGCAGTGATGCTGGCAATTCAGTTATGCAAAAGAGAAACTGTAAAGTGCTTCTTTTAAGTAAAAAGGTGAGTATAATACAATAAGGTATTTTGAGAGATGCCACATTCACATACCTTTTATTACAGTATATTGTTATAGTTGTTCTATTTTATTTTAAGTTATTGTTGTTAATCTCTACCTGTGCCTAATTCATAAATTAAATTTTACCATAGGTATGTATGTATAGGAGAAAGCATAGTATATAATATATAGGGTTCAATGCTATCCTCAGTTTCAGACATTCACTGGGGGTCTTGGAATGTATCCCTCTCGGATAAGGGGGCACTACTGTATTAGAACAAACAGATATGCAAAATAATGGTTATTTTAACTAATCAGAGGTTTAATTTATAGCCCTGTTAAAATTGCTGTTTGCATTAAAGCCATTCATTTTGCCATTTCCTTTCATCACTTAAGTTTTTATTACTGAATACCTTCGAGTCAAATGTTATCAATTTTGAGTAAGTAGGTTTGCCTAAGCATAAATTAGATCTTTTGCATCATCACAATTTAATACTCAAAATAGTATTTAAATTGTTTAAACAAATATACAGTCTAATAAAGCAGAGCAAGCTTGTCATTAATCAAATGCGTATACCTCCAGGTTGGCCACATTCGTGCGGAGCGTGACATTCTAGTGGAGGCAGACAGTTTGTGGGTTGTGAAAATGTTCTATAGTTTTCAGGATAAGCTAAACCTCTACCTAATCATGGAGTTCCTGCCTGGAGGTAATTACATGACGATGAAAGGTCATTTTTCCTTTTTGTTCTGTGGTTTCTCTCTCACCTCAATTAACCCTCCTTTCTACTTTTAATTGTGCTCACAGAGTTACTTTCTATATCTTTTTTAGGTCTGTAAAGGAAGTCAGTAACCTGTCTTGTGCTGGGGTGCCTTTCCACAATTCTTAGTGCCATAAAAGTAACCTTCTCACTCATTCTCATGATTTCAGATGGACATTTCTTTCTTTTCTTTTTCTTTCTAAAGATATAGGAATAAACTAGGGACTCTGCCTGCTCTCCTGTCAATGGGAATCATGTATAATCAGTTACCCAAGAGACAAAATTGAAACTATAATATTCTTTCCTTCAACTTTTTGGTTTCTTTTTTTATAACTTGTTACTAAGGAGTGAATTTCTCATTGCCTATATTAGTAGACAGAATCAATTTCTCATTTCTGAGATTTCAAGTTTTGTGTGACTTAGCACGTGCATCTCCTAAGACAGCTCCAAAGTAGACACAGAACAGGACATACCATCTCTTCTGGGGAACAATCTGTTGCCCAGTGAGCAGATAAACTGTGAGTAAACTCTGGTGGGAAAAAAAGACAACTTTTTCTTTTTTGGTTCTATAGCAAAGCAGATATAATTATGACATACTATTTTGATATTTTGACACCTTTTAGTTTACATGTAGGGTCATCAATAATTTTTTATCAAGAATTGATGAAGGTTAGACAAGAATCTGATAGAATGAGGAGAAACTTTTTATTATATAGATGCCAGTTTTAAGTAGGAGTAAGAACCAGCTCGGTCACCAGCCCCTTGACATGTGTCTCCTCAAGCCTTACCTGCACCATCTTCCATAGCTTCTCATGTCTCCTGGACCCTGCCCTTTGCACTCGGTGGAGCTGGCCGGCAGAGCCATAGACCATCTGGCCTGAGCTCTCTGATCATCTGGGCAAGCTCGCACAGGTGAGGCCATTGGCTGCTCTCCTGGGCCACAGTGTAAGACCACACAACTACCTTAGAGCTGGCCTGAATGTGCTGCCCCATGTCTCTGGTGTGCCTCCAGATTGAATGTGTGGCTGCCAGGAGTGAATAGGAATTCATTTTTCAATGTTTCAATTCACCTTTTCCTATTTTCTAACAAATGGCTTTATATGAGATCTAAACTGAATTTTTCCTTAGCTTTAAATGTTTCTCTTAGCTTTAAACTACTTATACCTATTTTTCTTTGCTTTGCTTTTGTCTAACTGTTGAGTTAGGATCAGATTTTTTGCCATTTTATGTTGCTAGTATTAAGCAGAAATAATTAAATTTTGACTTTGCAGAAAACTGAGATTACCTCTTAACTGCTAAACTACTGATACTGTGTTGTAAAAGTTGCATAAAGTATATTATTGTGTTTTTAAATACCTATAATAAAACACTGGAGGAAAAAAAACCCCACTGTTTGAGGGAGGTGTTCAGTGTGCATTTTTGGAAGGCACTATTAGAAATTCAAGCATGGAGCATTTTCAGTTTATTTTTATTTTTTGTTATTAGCACTTTGCTAGATAGAAATCCACCTTTTTATTTGTTCTAGTGTTTTGTGAATAGAAATTGAAGAGCTTGTTTTCAGCCTCTTCAGATGTTTACATTTTTGTTTGGTATTTCAGCCTCTCTCTATAACAATAGCAGTATAACCTATGCAGAAATGCCATTTGACTCTAGAGAAGTTTGCAGATATTTGTGCAGACAAAATTAAAAGTAGCTTTTTTCGCTAGTTTAAAATTTATCCTAAGCAATTTACTTTTTTTTCTTTTCTTTTCTTTTCTTTTTAGTGTGAGAGAAATTTCCCTTGACCTCATTTAAGTAAAATGGAAATTATAGCTCAGTGGGCAGCATCATTTAGCTTAGGTGCTTTGCTCTCCATAGCTGAGAATTTTACTTTTTAAATGTTAGAAACTACTTACCATTTCTGCCCATAGTGATAGTGTGGGTCAGTTTCTGGAACACAGCAGAGGCCTATTTAGCCTTGCCTAATGTTGGCAGATAGGGAAGACACAGCTGAAAACTGGCACTTACTCATGTGTTTTTTTTGTGTGTGTGGTGGTTTGTATCTTCTTGTTTCCAGGGGACATGATGACTCTACTGATGAAAAAAGACACCTTGACAGAAGAGGAGACTCAGTTTTATATAGCAGAAACAGTATTAGCTATAGACTCCATTCACCAGCTTGGATTCATCCACAGAGATATCAAACCAGACAACCTTCTTCTGGACAGCAAGGTACTGTGGAGGATGGCTAGCAGCATAACCAGTTGTGTATTTACCCATCTGAGCAGCTTCTGCTTTAACACCTGCGCTGTGGTAGTTTACCATCTACTGTGGTAATCGCAGTAGGGAAGCTGTGGAACTGTGAGCTTACCTTGTGTATTTCTTTCTTTCTTTTTTGTAGGTAAGTTTGCTGTTACTTCCTTTCTCTGAAAGGCTTATGATTCTATAATTTGAATGCTCCTTTTAAAAATAAAAGGCATTTTTGAAAATTATTAAGAGTAAAATTGATTTAAAAGGTTATTTTGTACTAAAGCCAAAGATAATCATCTTCTCAGCACATAATTAACTATACGAATGTGTTACCTATTGAACATCCCTCTGTTGGGCAGCCTCATCAGTCAAGGAACCCAGACAACCAGGAAGTAAGGCACAGCAGCAGCAACAACAGCAAAGTTTAGGTTCCAAATCTTATGCCATCTGTTTAAAAAAGAGTCAGTAATGGCCTTTTTATATTTATTATTTGACATGCAAATGAGCTTAGTTGATTGGTTCTTAGGTTCGCAGCAAATCAGTAGAGAATCCGTGTGCTACTAGATTGCTGGGTACCCCTCGGCAAGTCCCTCCCTCTTGTGGACTTCATTACCTGTAAAGTGAATATATTGATTCAGAAGAGCTCCAAAGTTCCCTCCAACCCTAAAATTCCGGAATGTTATGTTCTATTACACAGAAATGCTGTCTCGACTGAATTTTTAAGTAGAAAAGAAAATTTGATTCCTAGGGTATTTTCTTTTTCTTGCTGTCTTTGAAAACCCTGAAATTTTGATTTTCTCTCTTTGAAAACCATTGCTTTCTGTTTTAAGAGGGCAAATTTGTCAGATAATTTCTTCTGATTAATAGCTTTTTTCTTCATTATAAGAATAATACATAGTGGAAAGTTTGAACAATACAGAAAGTTATAAAAAAGAAAAATACCTATAATCTCATTGTTCAGAGATAACCATCATTTTGGTATAATAGCTTTTCTACCTTTTCTGTTTGTATCAATAATTTATATACAGTTAGCATCCTAGAAGTAAATAGCTTGGTATTCTGCTTTTAAAATGTTAATGTATATGAGAGTATTTTTCTATGTGATTAAGTTCAGATATATTTTTAATAAAACACTGGCCCTACTTTGGTCTTGGGCTCACGTGCCCTGGTCCTGTGCCCCAGGTGTCTTAGTGCTGGCTTATTTGTACTCCGTGGTCTGTGTTTGGGTCCAGGAAACATTGAAGGTCAAGAACTTGGTGACTCTAACTGAGGAGGATTGGGGAACCCTGCTAGATGCACATTTGTTCTCTATATTGTGCTAGCCCAAACTTATAGAAAAATGTTCTTACAAGTGAGCTCATTTATGTGTTTAGCCATATGGCTTGTAGAAGTGAAAATGTAGAAGTTTCGAATTTTTGCTGTACACTCAGAGTAAGCTACACAATTCTCTGAAAATCTGGGCTTGATAGCATTTGCTCTAGGCACTAGTCTTTAAGATACACTCCTTTCTTAGAGGTGTCCAGGTAAAACGTGTAATTATGAAAACTACAAATTAAACTCTGTTCCTTGGCTTATAGAATAAGTTATTTACAAATCTAAAAAAAAAAAAAAAGGTTAATAGGCTCAAAAGCTATCTTTGTTAGGCAGTTTACCTTTCATGCTTGCACACGTGCACACACACACAGAGTCAAATCTAATGGGAGTTCTTTAAAATCAAAAAATAAAACCTGACCCATCTGAGCAGGGCTTCTATAGCCTTGTACTCTGGGAAGTTTGTGTATTAGGGCCTGAAGGAAGGTGATATCATAAAAAGACCACAGATGTTGAAGTCGTTGGGGCCCAAGCGTTGGCCACACCACTTGTAATTATGCAACCTTGATCAGTGTAGATCCTTGAGCATCAGGATTCTCTCTCCTATTTTTGGTTTTACCTCCTTCTCTACTTAAAATTTTACCACCCCAAGAACACCTACCTCTTTCTTAGGGCGAGTTATGTGCCAGGCACAAGGTTAGGAGCCTTGTATGCATTAATTGTCATCATTCCTGCCAGGAAGATGTCATTATCCCCATTTTCCACATGAGATCAGGGGGTTGGGAAAGTTAGGTAATCTTGGTCTTGGGAGGAAGATCATGTTGATTTATGACTTTGGTTCTGCCATTTTACCAGCAAGCCATTTAATGACTCTGAGTCTGAGAAGTGCTGCTTAAGAGTTACAAATGAGACAACACAATTAAGGCATGGTGTCTGGCTCCCAAGAGGTGTGAGTTTTTCTTGAGGGGAATGATAGAATCAGAGACTTATGATTGGAATACAGTATGGCAGCTTTTATCAAGAACTATGGAATAAGCTTATTCCCTTTGTCTTTGGAATAGTTTACTTCTTGGAATTTACCCTAATAAAATAATTTAAAAGAAGAAGCAACTATATGAGCAAAGATTTGTTCATTTACTCCTCATTTAACAACCATTTATTACGGCTGTCTTCTATACCAGGCATGGTTAGGAATGAGAACACAGGCCCTCTCTGTAATCCACATAACCTGAGAGTGAAGAATTAGAAATGAGGTAAGCATCTGGTATTAGGGAGATAGTTAAATAAACCATGATGTACTAAGTCATTTGAATATTATCTGTAAACATTAACAGTGGTAATTTTGAAGACTGTAGAAACAGAAGAATATTTGAATTAGTTTAAGAAATAGTAAAATTTAGATGCTCTGGAGGTTTCAACTATGTTTAAATGTTTATATTTGGACAAAAAGAATATTCAAAAATAAAAATAAATTTTTTAGTATAATAGGATTTGGGGTGATCTTATAAAAATTTATTTGCTGTTATATACGTTTTCCCTGTAATAAAAGAAAAAAAGACAGCATACTTTGGCTGTGGAGCTGTAATGGATTCTGCAAGGAGCTGGAGAAGATAACATTCTGTTCCACATCCGTGAATGTTCATCCATCCATTACCTTGTTTTTTCTTCCCCATAGGGCCATGTGAAACTTTCTGACTTCGGCCTTTGCACAGGACTGAAAAAAGCACATAGGACAGAATTTTATAGGAATCTGAACCACAGCCTCCCCAGTGATTTCAGTAAGTGTTAACAGTGATGTTAGCCTTTTTATCCTTAATTGGGCCTAGAGGAGCTGTTCCCTTGGTAACCAGATTATGCAGGACAGTTTAGGAGATTCTCACTTTGAGTCTTTAGAGAATTAAAAAACCTCCCCAACTTTGCCTGTGATTTGAATTGTATGATGAGGCAAGGTGAGTACCACCAAAAGAGCTTGCTTTGGAGCTCTGCTGAGAAGGTTCCTGGAGAGGAATTTGGGGAAGTAGAGGAAAAAGTCCTGAGAACAACAAGTCCTGAGAACAATTCCAGGTTAGGTTTATCTACTGTCATGGCAGAAAGAAATTTATCTTTATGAGTGTTACTTCCACTCCAGCACTATCAAACCATTGAAACTGTGTAGTAAAGTGACAATTCATCTTCGAGAAGTTTATGTCAGATAATTATTATAAATTCAGAAGTCTCTGATTATGCAACAGTTAATATTCTTGGAAATTTGATGGTAATTTTGAGAAACTGTGAATGTTTTAGGTCTACTTTAGGACCTTTGCTTCTGATGAGACTGAATTTCTTGCAATTCTGATTAAATTCCTTGTAATTCCGATTAAGGCTTGCCCATGTCCACTCTGGACATATGATCCACATGGAAGTGCTGCTTAAACTCTCATTGTCTAATTCTTTGAGTAAATGCTTTAGAGCCTCTGATTTGGGCTTACAGACTTGCTGGGAAATGTGTCACCCAGAGTTATTGATGTATAGGCAGACTTTAGGGCTCATGTGGTTTGAACCAGAGGATAAAAAAGAAGTAAAAGTTCTTGTCTGAACTTTGATCAGACCTTGTGTTCTCCACTTTTAGCTTTCCAGAACATGAATTCCAAAAGGAAAGCAGAAACCTGGAAAAGAAATAGACGTCAGCTAGTAAGTAATACCTATAGCTTCTTAAATGCTACAAACCAAATATGAATATGTTCAAAATACATGTGCATAAATTTGCATTTCATAAATGTTTGCAGCATATCTATCCCTTGCTTTTAAGATTATCATAATAGAGCACTGTTATGCTGGTAGCACCAAATGCAATCTTTTGAAGTAGGGTAGGTAATATTAGGTTGTTTGGTTGTGACATTTTCATTGGATCACCTCATTCTGACCTTTTTCGTTGGCGACAATCCCTTTCTTTCCTGTTTCACCTTTTCCCTGTTTTTATGGTGGTAAAGGGGTTATATTTAAGCTGGAGGTCTCTCAAAATAAAACTCAGTATAGATACTTGCCCAGAGCTTTAAGGCAATGGTTCTCAAACTTTTAAAATTTTGAGTCACTCTCAAACTTCTAAAAATTTGATTCACTTCATCAAGTCAAGACTTCAATTCACCTGCCCTACCCTTTCCTGCTTTGTGGTAGAAAAAGGAACTTGGTGTTAAAAATTGGAGAGAAATTTAAGGGAAATACTTATTATTTACTTTGTAAGTATTTGAGTGTCTATACATAAAATTGTGCCCCACAAGCTTAAAAAATAACATTGGATATGCCTTGATAGTATATTGGAAGTTATTTAAATAATGCAAATTCACCAGTGAAATATTGCTTTCTAACAAACTTTTATTCTGATTCATTGGTTCATATTTGAAATGCAATGTACATGTCCTAATGTCTAGTTATTGGAAAATTATTGACTAGAGATAATAGAAATGTATATCACTGCATACTTAGGCTTTGCTAGAAACCCATAGCAAATGAAATTGATGATGGTAAAGCTAAACTAACAGATGGTTATTAGAAAACAAGACTAGCAGCAGTGGAAAACTATGACTAACTTGGAAAGATGATCATGGACATGTATTATCTAGAAATGGTGGTACTTCTGCTTGTTAGTGTATATAATAACAACTTGGCAGGTTTGCCAAATATTGTTTTTCAGCCAGACTTCTTAATAAAATACTGAATTAGAGTTCTCTATAGTATCTTTAATAACTCACTTAGTAGGTCACTAGTGAGTAGCTGTCAGTCATATGTGAAAATGGGAGCCTGTAGGATAGAAAGAATCAAAGGAAAGTCTTGCTTTTTAAAAGAAATTTATTTGAGGCCCATCAGTGGGCCTCAGACCATGCTTTGAGTGTTATGAATTTTATGTTAAACCTGGGCCCTGGGAGAGGCATCAACTTAAACAATTCTGGAAATGCAGTAACTGAAATTAATTTTGATAATCTTTTTCTAACAACTTGGGGCTACTTAAGTTTAGTATAGTCACATCGTAGTCTCCTTTAGGCACTCTGATACTCTTTAAAAAATGTCTAAATTCTGTATATGTGGTTGAAAAACTATTTAAATGGTTTGTTAAGGGTTAGGGAATGTTAGGAAGGGTTAGAAACAAATTTAGTCAGATGCTTCTATTATGTCTCACCATAGAGCTGTAGATCTTAACCTTGGCTACACATCAGAATCACCTGGGGAACTTAAGAACATTCCGATGTCTGGATCCCATCCCCAGAGATTCTAATTCACTTGGTTCGGGGTATAGTCTGGGTATCTGATCTTTTCTTTTTTTTTAGGTGAGGCAACCCTTGGTTGACCTCACAGATTGCAAGGTCCTTGTCAGCTTACAGTCCCTTATTTTTTTATGCCTACGTCACCTGGTCTTCCTAGGTGGTCTCCCATCCAAGTACTAACCAGGCCCGACCCTGCTTAGCTTCTGAGATCAGATGAGATTGGGCTTGTTCAGGGTGGCATGGCTGTAGACTGGGTATCTGATCTTTATAAGGACTGTGGGTGATTCTACTATGCAGTGAAGATAGATTCTCCAAGGAAAAGACTGTTTCTTAAACAATAGCTCCTGTATTATTGGGAAACTGATATTTACTTATGTTTTGGAAGCTAACTAAAAGTAAGGAATCTTCTGTGATTTTTTTCTTTTTTAAAGCCAGCTAAGATTTAACCTTTGGCCACTGTACTAATACTTATTTGGGGGGTAATTAAGCTTAAATACCTTAAATAATCCTTATACTTTGAGATAGGCTTTATGCTCTTTGACACACACCAAAGGGTCATGTCAGACTTACTAGGAACCACTTATAAGTCTATAAAGAAGGAGATTTCTCAATTTTCGTATTTGGAGTTCAATGTCCTTTAATAGTTTAAAATGTTTTTTCTCGTGCTATGATTAAGGTTCTTGCCTTTTTTATCTATAGTAGAAATGGAACCATATTAAGGTCATCCTCCTATTACCTATTTTGATAACTTGAAGAAAATAAAGCAACCTCTCAGACTTTAAAAAGTCAATTAACCCTGTGCTTTTGACCATTTATAAGTGATCCCATTCAGCTAGTATCAAGTAGAAGGTTAATATTAGTTAATGCTTAACATAAATTTACTGCTCTAGGTTAAGCCTAATACATTGCTCACCCAGCCCATTATTTTTCAGTCCACTGAAAATCACTGAATAAAGTAGAGGCTTAAGGTTCACTCCTTGGCTGCTCGAATCATATTGTAATGTTTTAAATTGCTGTGTGGTCGTGGGCCTCGATAACTGATTAGGAAATAAATGTATGTCAGCTTTAAGTTATTAAACCACAGAGGTAAGAGACGAAGTACATCTAGGCATCCGATCTTCGTTAGGTTTTTTTTTTTAGTGTAGAATTTACAGAAGTGATTGAGTAGGAAATGAAATTGCTTTATTTCCCCTAAAATTCTAAATGAAATCATAAGTTGGAACATATCATGTGTTTGAAAATGACTGTTAACAGTCAACAAAGCTTTTTCAGAGTGCAGCTCTAATTAAATCTATAAATACCCAGCCAACAAAAGGAAAAAGGATATAGATTTGAGGTATTAAGAGCTTGCACTTGGAGAACACCCTGGTATGGAAAACAGACAAAGATTTGGGAAGGGGGCAGTCCCTAGTTTAGAAATATCTACTACCTGGTACTTACCAGTGTGGTAAAATGAGAGTGAGTTCCTAAGTCACAGGACTCTAGTCCCAGAGTGGGAGTATTACCTTGTACTATAGGTTTGTGCCTGCTACTGGCCATGTTTTATAACTCCAAGAATGTTATAACACCTTAGTATCTAAAAGGAATTCTTTCCCCATGGCAATAGAACTTTGGTTTTATAATAGAAATCTTTGAAGAAATAAGGTTTACTTAACATTCAGCTTTCCTGGGATAAATCTAGTCTCTAAATTGAAGGGCTTCTGTAGTTTATTAACCTTTATAATTAGAATGAAAATATTTCTGCTTCTCGGGGAAGGCCCAATCCATGTTTCAGACTTTAAGGCTTTAAAAAAAAGCTCTGGCATTTATGTTACCTAATATGTGTATTTAAAAGAAAACAGTGTACAATTATGTATATGGAAAAAGTAGATTTCTGCCTTACAGTATACACAAAAATAAATTGTAGATGGAAAGTAAAACTTTGAAAATTTTAGAATACAGGGTAAGATCTTTATGATCTCAGAGTAAAGAAGTATTTTTTAAATTCAAGAGTACAAATCATAAAGAACAACTTGATAATTTTACTACTTTAAGGAAAAAATAAACTTTATATTGAAATATAAAAATGAAAAAACAGGCCACATGGTTCAACTGCTGTGGAATTATCTTACGATTCGTGTGTATATCCTACAACCTAGCATTTCTACCCCTAGGCATATGCCCTGGAGAAACTTGCACCTGTGAATCCGGAGACATGTATAAGAATGTTTATTGCATTTTCAAAATAGCAATGAATTGGAAATAACTCAGTGCCCATCAACAGGAAATGGTTACATTTCAGAATAGAATATTTTACAGCAATGAAAATAAACTACAGCTACATGTGACAATGTGGATTAATTTTACAAATAAAACATTGAGAGGAAAAATCAAATAGCAGAAGACTGCAAGTAGAATGATACCATTTTTACAAAGCTCAAAAACAAAACTCAGTAAGATCTCATTATAGAAATGTGGCAAAATTAAATTTCTAAAAATATTGGAATGATAAACAGAAAATTGAGCATAGGAATTAGAAGAGGCAGGAGGATGGGATAGGGAGGAGTACATGTTTAGTTTTAATGATGTTGGTATTATTTTGATTCTTCAGATGAACTCATGAATATTCATTTTCATTCTTATGCTTTATAATTTAATGATTACACATTTTTGATATGTGGCAAATATTACATCATTTAAAAAATCATAATTAAAAAGTATAAGCTTCAGACTGGGAGAAGATATTTGCAATATGTAAAACTATAAAGGATTAATGTCCTGAATCAGGATTAATGCCCCGGATTCATAAAGAATTTCTACGAGTCAATAAGAAAAAAGATAACGTAACAAAAAATGAATGGGTAAAGGATCTGAACAGAAATTCACAGAAAAAAGACCCGAATGGCTAATTAATATATGAATATGCACTCAGCCTTACTAGAAATTAGAGAAATGCAAATTAAAACAGTGAGATTCCATTCTATATTTATCAAATTGGTAATCTGACAAAGCCAAGTGTTCGTGAGATGTGGAACATCAGGAGCTCATCTCCACTGGGGGTGTGTTAAATAGGTATAAACCACTTCGGAGGACATTGGAAGATGTCTAAGTAGAAGATGCTCCTAATCCAAGACCCAGCGATACTGTTTCTCTTACATTCTCTAGAGGAATTCTTGCACATGTGCCCAAGAGATGTTAAAAGAATGTTTATTCAGGTGTTACTTGTTATGGTGAAACATTGGAGGCAGTATAAATGTCCATTTACAGGAGAGTGGACAAAAAACACTGCTATTTCTATAATGGAATAGTGTACAACAGTACAATGGGCGAACTAAAAGCAAGTTGTAGCATTGTAGAGCAATACAGTACAGTATGAAACCCTTTATTAAAACTTGAAATGTACAAGAGTAATTTGTCATTCATGTGAATATTCATACAAGCATAGCACAGCAACTTCGGGGTATTTTTAACTTCAGTGGGGAGGTAGGGAGGGACTATCTGGCTTTAATTGCTTCTGTAGTTTCTTTAGTTTTGTTTCTTTTAAAAAGACAAATGATCTGAGACAAATATGGCAGATGATTTAACCTCTCTTTAATATGGGTAATGGTTATACGAGTGTTATATTGTCTGTGCTTTTTATCCTGTATGTTTACAGTATTTCATAATTAATATTTTAAAAAGACAACACAGCTGTAATTTTTAATTTTAGAAGTTAGGTAATATCGACAGCACCTAAAATAGAGCCTTCCATGTGGTAATCCCTCCGGTGCTGAGCATATTGGAAGGTGTTGTGTCCTGGTATATGAGAATAGATTACTTGAATTTAGAAAATGTTCCTCTAAGAACTATTTATATAAATAAGTTTGGTAAATAGACATTTATAAGCCTTTGACCTATAGGATAGAACTTTAGTTTTTGATAATAAAACTTCCCTTTATGATTTTCTCAAGTCAAAGAATATATGTGGTGGAAGGAGGGATAATTTGGAGCAAGATATTTAATTTTCAAACTGTGCTCTGACACTTGTTCTGAGGCCTTGGGCAAGCGATTTTGGGTGTCAGATTTTTTTATCTGCGAAGTTGGGTTACTAAGGTCCTCATTGCTGAGTTTTGTTAGGACTGACTAGGTTCATAAGCATATAAGAAGTACAGAGCCTGACACTGGGTATGGTACTAGTTGTTATGACAAGTACCTCTAACTTAGTGAACTTTATTGTTCATTTCAAAAGTGCTCTGGCAAATCAGGCTTGCCATTAAATAGCTAGGCTGTTAAATAGCAAGGCTGTTCCGCTTGTTTGGTTTGTAGAAGACCTAGCTCTAGGTAGCTTTTGGTCTCTAGAACAGACCTCTGGGCAGCTGGGCCTCCCTGACGTGTGGTACGTGTTTCAGGCCTTCTCCACAGTAGGTACTCCTGACTACATTGCTCCCGAGGTGTTCATGCAGACCGGGTACAACAAGCTCTGTGATTGGTGGTCGCTTGGGGTGATCATGTATGAGATGCTCATCGGTAAGTTGCATGCTTTCAGATGGCTTTTTTTGTGTAGCCAGGAAATTTTCCTACTTTGGTAATAAACTCTTTCAATTTGGGGCGATCTAAGCACTCTCCTTCCCCACCGCCACACACCCTGCCTTGTCTTTCAAAGTAGATTCCCGGGTAGAAAATTCTCTGCCATAAAATTTATCCTCCTATATTCTTTGGCATCCAGGCATCATGTGGTTGCTGTGCTGATGATTTATCATGTTTTTCTTCTAGTTTTTCATCCTTTCCATTTAGTAGCTCTTTCAGTCACTGGCGTTTATTAAACATCCATGGTATGCAGAGAGCATTACCTGGGCTTTGCCTCATATGCTTTTCTTATTTGCTATGTCCTTTCTCACAGCCTTCAAAGCATGGAACCCTCTGACCTCTCTCCCTCTTATTCAGATGATATGTCTGTGCATTTAGGGGACACATCGGGGGAGGGGTGGGTGACCATATGCCTAAGAGCACTAGGAGAGTAAGTATATCTGTGCTGGTACCAAGCGAGTCTGTGTGATGGCTGGTGTGGCGTCTGTTTGGCTGTCCTGTCTTTGGGAACACTGGATGGATACTTTTGGAGGTGGATGTAATCTGTGTGGTGGGCAGGTGGAGTAATATGTTTTATATTTATCCTTTTGTCTGTAGTTCTCAAAAGAAGGGTAGTAGTCATTTTTAAAACCTATGCTTTTTTCTTATTCAACTTGTTTGGCACCTTACCCATATAAGGATTCTTAGAATGGAGCCATTTCTTAATGATGTTGTTTCATCCTTTCATTTCTTCTTTGGACACCGTGGTTCTCACATCTGCAACTCTGCTTATGTCCTCCTTTCTTTTCCCAGCTCCAGCTATTAGCTGGCTCCCTAGTGGTACCAGAAGTACAACTTCACTTTGGGTTTTTGGTAGAGGAGGGATTGATTTAGGTGATTTCTGGGAAGAGTGGGAAGTCCTGTCCATGTTATGGAGAGAAGGACATAAATGATCATTATAGATCTATAGAATCGTATTAAGGAGAATAATCTTAGATTCAGAATTCTGGGATGTAAAAGCTCCGAGTTCCTTTTTTATTACAGGCTACCCACCTTTCTGTTCTGAGACCCCTCAAGAGACATATAAGAAGGTGATGAACTGGAAAGAAACTTTGACTTTTCCTCCAGAAGTTCCTATCTCTGAGAAAGCCAAGGATCTGATTTTGAGGTATCAGTCAGAGAACATCTCCCCTGCCTCCACCCAGGCTTTTTGACATAAGTGAAGACATTTTTTTTTTTTTTTGGCTTTCATTATTTTCTGGGTCTGCTTCATGCTTCTTCCCAGTCCCCCCCCCCTTTTTTTTTTAAAAAGAGGTTATTCCTCTTCTTTTTCCAAACAGACTACTTGAGGTACGCTGAAAGGCCTCTGTCTTTTCCAGATTTTGCTGTGAATGGGAACATAGGATTGGAGCCCCTGGAGTTGAGGAAATCAAAAGTAATTCTTTTTTTGAAGGCGTTGACTGGGAACATATCAGGTATATGCATATAAAAGCTTTCAGAGTTATTTCAGCAAATCTGTAGTTTGCTTAATACTAATTTGGAAACACCATTATTGGCAATCCAAGTAAGGGAAGAGAGCTTCTTAGAAATTCAGGGTCTTTTCCTGAATTTCCTGAGTTGGGGCTTCCTCTTGGCCTTGTGCCATGAGATGTGTTGAACACAACAGTTATTTACAAAGTGAACTTAGGGTTCCATGGTGTTGCCCTTGCTATATTACCTAGAACACACCAGCCTCTCTAGTGTGGAGACCACCAGCAGGACTGACTCTGCCCAGAGGGTAGGGACTATCACTAGTAGATAGAAAGGAGTGGACAAAGGATTGGGATGAGAAGTGGCTCAGAGAGGAGTGGAGAGGGAGGGGGATAATCATTATGTTGGCATTTGTAGAGTGTTGCTAATGGCAATGAGAACCTGCATAGCCTACCACAATCCCATACTATCTTACTTAGCATTTGTTGGTTGCTAAGCCAAAGACGAAGTTGTCAGCTGTTTTGTAATTGTTTTCTGATTTGCATCCTCGTGATTTTTACCTTTGCCTCCTTTGTGCCGCATTTTTAGCCACCCTACTTGTTGGCACCTCTGGTAGAAGGGCATAGTGCTACGTGAGGTGACTCTTAGAGGTCCAGTTTCCCTTTTTAGCAGATGGGGCAGGCTGTCAGAGGGAATGCATTAATTTTGGACTTTAATTTCTCATTATTCTTGTCTTTTTTCCTATCTACAAATAATTGTTATTTATATTTTTTCATTGTAATTTATTTTGTATGGACATAGTCAGTGGTGTAGTTGGTCAGTGGTCATAAGCTTTTCAGAGAAAATAAACTCTACCTGCCAGTGGATAGTCTACTCATGTCAGACCACGGGTCTCTTTTGGAGAAAGACTTGATTAGTATGATCCATATAATTACTAACCATAATAATTTTTGGCATGTCTGTTCTTGGCAGAGAGAGACCTGCTGCAATATCTATTGAAATCAAAAGCATTGATGATACTTCAAACTTCGATGAGTTTCCAGAATCTGATATTCTTAAGCCAACAGGTAATACTGCCAACACTGCCTCCTGCTGCCTTGTAAGCGCATTATTTCCCCCCAGTTTTGGGGTGATATTTATAAATCAGGGTAGAGAACGTGGAGAGGAACTTCAGATCTTCAGGTTCTTTGTAAGTATTTTCCAGTGCTGCTGCTGGGTAGCAGTGACACCTTGTTGAATGGAAGATGAATACAAACTTCCATGTTGAGACTTCTCAACCGGGCGGGTAAATCCCAAAGATCTGTTCTTTTGTTGTTATTTATTAAATTAAAGTTTAAGCAACCTAAAATGACAGGGGAAAATAAAACTTTAAAAATATTTGTCAAAAAAATGAGGCTCAAAGTTCATATAGGCAAGCAAATGTAGAAAATTCGCAGAGAGCGAAAAACAACTCTTCCCAAATAGAAACTGTGGTATGTTCTTCAGAATGTCATGTCTTCCGTTCCGAGTAGTCCATCGGGGTAAGGCAGTGAATCTGCTCTCACATCTGTTTCTTTCCAGTGGCAACAAGTAATCACCCTGAGACTGACTACAAGAACAAAGACTGGGTCTTCATCAATTACACATACAAGCGCTTTGAAGGCCTAACTGCACGGGGGGCAATACCTTCCTATATGAAAGCAGCAAAATAGTATCTTTGAAATGGAATCCTAAATGGAGCAGTGTTTTGTACAACATCATAGTTTTCCTCTCACACACTTTTTTGAAATTGCTTCCAAGAAGTTTATGGAACCCACTTGTATGTCATGGTAAACTCTCCTGAAATGTGATAGTAAGTGGATTCTCTTCCTTAATGCATCTGAAAAGCTGTAGGAAAAAAAGAACCATTTTTACTACATTGGCCACAAGCAGCTGTCTTGCTTCTTCAGAGGCGTCACGAGCCAATATGATAGGTGTTTTTTTTTCTTCAAAAAACTTGAGTTTTCCTAAAGTTCATCAGAAGGGGAAAAACAGCCATCATCCAGCATTATTGAGATTGTAATGTATTGAATATCAGACAATTCCTGTGATTTTGTGACATGCTTTCTACCAAGCCCACCAAGTATTTCTTTTTTTTTACAGCTGAAAGTTCCACAGTACTAAGGAAATACAGCAATAACAAAAGTCTCAGCAGCCAGCATTCTGGCTGAAGGAAATGATCCACTATCCTCTAACAGGGTGGTGAGGGTAGTTTCTCCCCATACCTCGGCCTCGGGCGAGTGGCTTTTATAGCCTCCATTCATGGTGCACTTTATATATGGTACTAGGATAAAGACCTTTAATCCATTGATTTCTGTCCTCCCACCCATCTAAATACTCTTGCTGCTCTTCTGAGTGTTGATGGGGGAATACCAGTTTGATCCCTTGTTGCTCTCAGAAGGCCCCCAAAGCCATTGGGCATTGCCAAGGAGTCCCGGGTCACGTGGAAAACCAAACCCTCACTTTCTCTTCGTGGCTGTATCAGAAAATCCCCAAGACGTGGACCAGCAACACCTGCAAGTGCTGCCAACAGGAACTTGGTTTATTCCTGGGAACACAGCAAGGAGAGCCCAGGCAGAGGCAGAAGGCCTGGAACCCTCTTGGCCAAAGTGCTGCTCCTGCTCAGTCTCCAGAACCTCCTTGGAAGTGGTGAGGGAACCAGCCCAATACAAAGTGCAAAACCAGCCTACAGATCTTCATAACAAGTTCACTCTTCAATCCTTGGTGCAACTGTGTTTTGTCTTCTCTTTTGGTAGTTCTTCTCTCCCGACTTTAAATGCCATTTTGCCTTGGAATCATGATTATAGATTTTTCCTTTGCAGATGCCTTCCTAGGGGATGTTTCTCTCTACCCTCAAGGGTCACCTGCAGCTTGGGCTGACCAGGCCTCTGCTGTGGCATTCTCTCATGAGACACCCTCTGAATTTTAGCACAAAGTGCCTTCTCTTTCACAACTGCCACCACCTTTAGAGGAATTTTGCTGCATCAGAAAAATGTGGAGGCTCCATATTAATTCATTATTACTTTTTAAAATTTTGATAACTCTTAAAGCATCGTTTGCACCTGTGTGGTAACTTTGGCTGTTGCAGAGCGTCTTGGCCAAGCTACAACTGGGAGACTGTTTTCTTGACATTGCCAGTCTTGACATTGTTAAGATAGCTTTGAAAAGAAAGTATGTCCTAGCTTAGCCATTGAGAAAAGAAAAATGGAATATCAAAAAGTTACAGTACTAAGTGAAACTGCTTTGGATTTTAATGTTTTAGAGGAAGAAAAAAGAATATTAGTTAAGTATTGACTCTGGATGAAGGTAATGTGACTGCCCCCTTAATCTTTCATTCATGGTCTAATGGCGAAAAGGAAGTAAATGAGATTCTTTTGTGTAACTTTGTAGTTCCTTTGTATTACCAAATAGTTGGGGTGTTGACCCCCACATGTTTTGCAAGAGTGTGTGGTAAGCATGGGTAAAGAGATGTAACAGGAGTGGTGATAGTCTGCGTGTTGGGGAGTGGCAGGGGACAATTTGTTTTAGGGAGAAATGTCCACATTTTAACTTTTGAACTTTGGAATAAACTGTGTGAAAATAGTAGTGTAATCTGTGATGTGTTCTAAAGCAAATGTGGCTTGTAATTCAAAGAGGCAGAGTACTGGTGGCTTCTTTTAATCCCTTTGTCTACAAACCATTGGAACACTGTATCACCATCTTTAAACAGTGTTTTTCTGTCTTAGGGAAGCTGGGATCTGCTTTTTTTGTTCCCTAAGAATGAGTCTTCTGAATTGGTGTCCATATAAAGACACCACACGTGTCTCACACATGTGCTCTTTCGACCTGGTTCAGTGTTACAGGGCAGTGGGCTCTCCCCTTGCAGTAAGGCCAAGGGGAGACCTGCTGACAAAAGCGCTGTCAGCTGGCAGACCCTTCGTACAACTACTTGTAACCTAGCTCCATTTTTTTCCTAACCTGGGGTTGACCAGAAATGTCACAAGCTTCCAGGATGAGACTTCTCAGCGCCCCCGTGTCCACCAGAGCAGGGTTCTGTCGTTGTGTACTTGAGTCCTATTGGGTCCCACTTCTTAGGCCCTTCTCTAGGTTAGGGGAAGAAGCCTTGAAGAGGCAAGAAGGAAGGGGCAAAGACCAGGGTAGGAACTACAGTCAGAGGGAAGCTAAAGGCAGTCAGAATGTGTACTGCCTTTCCCAAGGCTCATGGGTTTCAAGAAACATGCTGGGGTTGGCTCAGTGCTGGTCTTGTTCAGAGATAATTCTGTTTCTTACTCTCTTAGGGGGAGTTAGAAAATAATAGTTTAACAGCACTGCGTACTAAAATGAAACAATACTGATGTCATTCTGTCCCCTTGATTTTGAGTACATCAGACTTTTCTTCACTGTCTGTTCCTTTTTAGAATTACTTCCAAAAGTAACATACCAATGAATTCTTCAGGATTAATATTCAGGGTCTGAATAGCACATTGCTAATTTCAAAACTCATCTATATGGCATTATAGGAATCCTCTGTCATTGAGTACTAATAGTTTTTTCTCTGACACATTTCCTCAGAAAGCATATTTCCTGGACCACCTTCTCCTGTTTGTCTCTCTTTGGCCTTTGTGTGTAACCCAGATGGTGTTTTTAGATCTCAAAAGAATTCATTGAATGGTATTTTCCTTTCTAGGTAGCATACATTTCTCTGGAATGATCTATCAAAGCCAACATGGACTTAAAAACAGTCCTTACATGCTTTTCAGGCATATTTTTAGAGAAAAACATCTTGTCCAAATAACATTTAAGCACCCCTTATATACAGAGTTCAATACCAGGCACTCAGGGGACGCAAGAAGGAGTGGTTCTGAACTGCAGATCAGTTTGAGGAGAGAATTCTCACCAAGTAGCTTAACAGAATGTAGCATCACTTGTAAAGTTAATACTTCAATATTGATAAAACAGTACTGTTAAGCCACCTGGAGTTGTTTGGAAGCGTAGAGAAGCTTCCCGGACATGTTTTTAAATAGCAGTGATTTGACAGGGGAAAGTGGCATGTCCAGGATTTTGGAGGCTTGAGGAATGGTCTTGTGCTGTGGTAGAGGCATTAGGCTGTGAATATTACTTTATGAAGAACTCTGCACTCTTTTGTTACATCATTTCCCTCTCCCACTTCAACCTCCTCATCTGGTTTGTCACTTGTGTGAAACATGTTAGTACTAATTATCCCATGTATAAAACATGCTGGTATTTTTACAACCCTTCCTCTGGTCACTAGTGTCCTGCTGTATTCCTTGGCTGCTCTTTAGTCCTCTTGATTAATGTACTGCACTTACACCATTGACTTAAAAAAAAAAAAACTCTCCTCCCACCTGACTTCCTGCTTTGCAGTTCCTCTGTTACCACTTAAACTGCTGCTCCTCAGAGCAACGACTGTCCTATTTTCACGCATGATCTCTGGGCGATCTGCCCCATTCTGTGGCTTCGACTATCACGTCTTGTGGTGTGGTCTTCGGAGACACTAACCTACCAAGACCACTTCCCAGAACTCCAGATCCCATGTAGCCAAGCACCTTCTAGTAATTTCCATTTGGAAGGCCTTCCAAATTTCCATTTGGAAGGCTCAAACTAGTTGTCCAGAGCTCCTCTTGCCTCTTTTTTTCTAGCTGTCCCCCCAGCTGTCCATGCTGGGAACTTATTACATGGCTCCCATCAGTAAGCATGTACAGCTCTGGAGTATGGACATCCATCCTACCAGTACCTTCCTCATTCCTTGTTGAACCCACTGCAGTGGTTTCTTAAATGACCTCTTTGCCCCTGGTCCTTCTTTCAGGTCTGTCATTCTTGCTGCCAAAGAAATTCTTTTACATTTCAAGTCTGATCATGTTATTCTCCTGCGTAAAACCCATGAGGGCTCCCAGCAGTCTTCATGAGACCAAAAACCTTTGTCTGAGGTTACTAGTCTTTCCTTACTTTGGCCTCATCTCTGCCATCGTCCCACCCATTTCTCTGATAAGCAGTTATTTCATCTTTGCTCATACAGTTGAGTTTGGCCTGGAATACCTCCTCCCCTCATATTCATGGATCCAAAACTAGTACACATCCTTCACAGTTTGGTTTATGTGTCGCTTCTAGAATTTTGTCAACTCTTCTCCTCACAGTAAAAACTGAATACTACACCCTTTTGGGCTTGAGTGACCTGGACTGTTTATAGATCTTCTCTACATGGTTATAGAAGCTTGTCATTGTATCCCTGTGGTCAAGCAGCATTTGGCACAGAATATACTCAGCAGGCCAGATCTTCAGAGCATGTTCTTAACTTCTGTGCAAAGGCAGGCCTGCTGGTGCCCTGCTGAAGTTGTGTCACCGATAAGCTCCCAGGCTAAGTGAGCTGAGGGAACTCAGCTGACTAGATAGGACCAAAGGATGAGCAAGAACTTTGAGAGCAGTGTTTCCATGGGACATGTCTGGACTCCACTCTGTTTTCTCAACTGCCTTTCACTGCTGCCATGGCTCCTCACTTTGCTTTAAACCAAAACTGGGACATCCAAGAAGTTAGAGTCCTCTTACCTTTCAAATTTACATGTAGCTTTGTGGGGTCCTACTTAGTTGGATTGGAGGGTTGAAAGAATCTTGAATCCAAGTTTAACCAGGAACTAGAGAAGGGAGACTATTAGGGCTCTGGAACCTAGAGTTATAAAGAAATAGCAGGGTGGGGAAAATACACAAGTCTGAGGCAAGCCTCATGGCTGCTGCAGGAGAGACACTGTTCTGGGCAGTCCAGGTGCTGCACCTTTCAGTCACCTTTACAGTCTTGACTTCCAAGTTTGTTTCTGGCTAAAAAAACAACACGGACACAAATGATAATATTTTATTATTAAAAAAAAGCATCTCGAATATAGGATTTTGTAAACAACTGGTAGGTGAACATGTGCAACTTTAAGTACAAAGTAAAGAGGCAAAACCTATAAGCATTTTGCCTTTAAGAGAAAATGTGTTCTCCTGCAGAGGTGGTCCCACCCAGAGCACGAATGGGGCTCCATCTCCCAAGAAGGCATCAAGTTTGCTTTCTGAACTCACTACGCCCATTTTAACAATTTCAGAATGATGGCAAGAAGTGGCATTGAATAAATTACTAAAACCCTTTCTATTTTCACTCAATGAGGGCATTTTATCACACTTTGACAGTATGAGTTAAAGCCTGTGTTCTGATTGATTTTACTTCCACAAAGACCCGTTGGAACAGTATTTTCATAGACCTGTATACATAAGATAACGCCATTCTCTTGAATTTTAGTTTAAAATAATATTGGCTTATGCATACTGTGTGGCAACAAATCCAGCTACTTTCTAGCTTCCTTACCTTTTTTGCTGTCATTCTTTCAGTACCTTTCTTCCACTTTGGGGAAACCATTAAGTAATCTCAACAGGCACATTTGAACGCTGTCTCCTTGCCCACTGCTCTCCAACTCCTCAATGTCAAATGTTTCCTCAACTATACGTGATAATGGATGCAGACACAAACTCACATTCTAAACCTCAAATTCAGGTTCATCTTGGCTTACTGAGATACCTCTGAGTAAGATAGTGTAGGTTAAAACCATTTTCTTAGGAAAATGTTTCTATATAAACAGCCTGGCTTACTTATGTAGGCACTTAGAAAAACAAAACTGACTCCCATCTTTTTATTAGAAACACCTCTTGCCCAGGTGGCCAGTAACTGATTCTGAAGGGCATGACCACAACCCAGCCCTTGTCCCTATGAGAACTAAGAGGTCCTGCCATTGCAGAATGTCCCGGCCCTGGGAACAGAGCAGCTACAGCCGAGGGGAGCCACTGAATCACAGTGATGCTGAGCTACAGGCCAGGAGGGTATGGGACACACAAGAAACCACCTCTACCAGAAAGAATTTGAGGGCCCAGCTTTTCCCTCAGTCACAACTGCCTGGTGACACCGGCAGATTTACCTCTACAGATTTTCAGCTTACTCAAACCCCCACAGGGTTGGGGTTAAAACTATGTTCACCCAATTTGGTGATCTAGTTCTTGAAAGCCTGAGGAAATTAATCATTTACATAGGAAAAAGTGTTAAGTACATGCCATACTTTCATACTTGACTTTACCTAAGCAAGCACTAATTAAATTAGTTTTAAAGAATATTAGCTGCGTGTTTACACTTATTAAATGTTAACACATAAGCTGTATAACAAGTTACATATATCACAGACTACACAATCAATGCAAATTTCCTTTGTAATGACACGGAAGTCAACTGAGAAATTTAAAGGAAGCACCATTAAACAATTATCTGGGTTGGCCAACTACTAGTGGATATGAATGTAGTACTGGTAAGGTTAAAGTGAAACCTGACCTCAAATATGAGCCAATTAGCTTCACAAAAATAAAACTACCCTCTGGCTACAAAATAATCCTGACCTCGGCCAACAGCCTTACAAATGGATGCCAATGGCAATCAGAAGAACTCTGGAGGTGGGAGATGGTTCACTTTAACTCATTACTTTTTCAGAGAAAGGAACAGAGCATCCACTGTGACGCTGATCACATGCACAGAGAACACACTTCTTGAGAACACTTGTTCTAAAGGCCTGGAAAGAGCAGGTTTCAATACTCATCTGATTTCACCTTTGAGAGGACTCTGACTAGAGCAGTCACAAAATGAAATCAAGTAGCTTGCCCTATAGTATCTTATGGGAATGGAATTTAAGAAAACTAGTCATGTTCTTAACTTGGAGGAAACTATGTGCCTCTTTGTAATCTGTGACGAGTAAATGCTCTGGGTAGGTTATTAGAAGGCCGACCTCTACCACAAAATGGGAGATAATCCCATGACACATGAGTTTAAATTTAGCTCCGCTGTTAACAGCCATAGGGACATCTGGAAAGATGGTTCAGTACTGGGAGCATTTTCTTAGGAAGAGTGATCTGGTGACACCGGCAGATTTACCTCTACAGGGGAGAGTGATCTGGGTTGATGCATTGTTAACACAGGGCTAACAGATCAAGCAAAATTTCTAGGTCTAGTTTCCTTTCAACTCATCCTTTGGGGATGACATTAGTATAGTTTACTTACCCAGTGTGAGCAACGCACAGGCTACTTCAAAAACTGAAATATCATAGTATCCAAAAAAATTCCATAGTATGAAAATATACAAAGAAAAACCCTGTAATGGGACAAAGCCAGGGCAGGTGATGTTTCCCTACCCAGCTTCACCCCAAATGCTCCCTGCCTGGAGCTCTTATAAGTCTTTCTATTGAGAAACTAAATAAACACCTGTGAGAAATTTTTACCCACATCTTGAAGACCTTTAAGCCATATCTATGGCCTGCCAGACATACCCACAGCAATGTGTTGCCTTAGGGTGAAGATTGTGTTGCCTTAGGGTGAAGATTTATGGCTTCACACCAGATTCCAAGCCAGGATGATCAAAGTGGCCTGATTCGGAGGTTCTACTTGAGTTGTGAGTTTCATTCCAAATGAGTAATTTATTTAGGCTCAAACACCATGAAGCTAAAAAGATTTCATAAACATTGTTATGCCATTATCCTTCCTGTCACAGAATCTATGTGGTTTTGGATTGTTCTTTGCCTTAATGAAAAAACAAAACTGAATTTAAGCACTTAAGAATTTCCTTTTAGACATTTTGAATGAGAGTCTAGTTCTCAGATGCAATCTGAAGGCAGATGCCACCAGGAACAGCATTTTCTTTAACCTCTAACAAGTATCCCATTAATGTCTACTTGTAGAAGATAGAGATTGTCACCTTTTAAGTTTGGTCCCTTTGCTAAGTAATTTGCCTGGTATAAAACAAAACAAAACAAAAGCCAAGAACAAAGCATAAAGGATGAGAACTGCTTTGCTGAATATGAGGCAACAGGAGTCTCGACTTCCTTTCCTGCTTTTGCAATTATGCAGACTTAGTGAACAGCACCAGACATAAAATTTCAAGTTACCAGGGCTGCTGCAAAGCTGGTAGCTTAATTACCAGTGAGTGCTTTTTCATCCCCTGCTGGAGGTACAGACATACTGAAAATGACACACGTTAATTACGGGAAAAAGGGAAAGGACGGGGGAGAAGCATGTCTTACTCATGGGGAGGACTGGCTTTGGGCAACCCAGACAGAAAAGCTCTGGAGAGAGGTGGACCCACAGCTGGCCTTAATCCTGAAAGTCGTTAGAAACCATCTGAGAAAGTGGGGCATTTAGCCGGTCAAGTTCATCCACTTGGGGCGGGTGATACATTAATATCTCCTGGTCCTCCAAGACATCTTCTCCAGCAGCTACCAGATTAGTGAGGGATTTGCTTCGAACACACTGGAAATCCACATGGCGACTCTTTCCTTCTTCCTTTTCCCATGACATCTGGATAAAGGGGCGCTGCACATAATTATAGATTACTTCAGACCGGCCACCAGGTCTTCTCTTAATTTTTTCTTTACAGGTAGGGTAACCTGAAACCGACAAAAAGACCATTCTCATGACGTCAGCAAATGTTCACCCTGGCTTCCATACTTCCTCCTTCATAACCACATCAATTTCCTCCCAAATCCAAAGACTATGCATGAAAACTGCTGGGGGAGTGACCAGCGTGGGACCATGCCCTCCCAGCTCTAACCACTCCTCCCTCCTACCCAGGTTAGTACGTCTTATCCCTAGAAGGGAAGTAACAAAAATTCTGTCCCTTCTAACAGAAAGGCCTGGAGAAGCCACTTACAACTTCATAAGCCTTTAGTTACTGGCAATAATACTGTTTTACAAAAATTCTGCTAAGGCACGGCTATTCCAGTCCTCTAATTCTATTGGTTAGAGAGCATTCTATATAAGAACTAAGGAAATGTGGAGTATTTAGCCTAAAGAAAAAAACAATGCCACCTAAAATATCTGGAGGGCTGTCACGTGGAAATGAGAGAAAGCTTGTTCAGAGTAGCTTCAGAGGCTAGAAATAGGAGGAAGACTGAAGAGGGAGGCAGTAACCTCTTAGACATATGGGAGAATGTTCTGATAGTAGGACAGTTCAACTGACTCCTCTGGGACATAGAGTGATCCCTCTGACCCTATCGCTGGAGTTTCCAAAGAGACTAGGGAAGAAGTACACAGTGGAAAAAGGTTTAATAGATGATCTCAAAAATCTCTCTCAACTTTAAAATTCCAATCTAAGTCGGAAACAGTGAAGGTCTAATGGGTTCTGTGGGCAAGACTAAGACAGAGTAACAAGACACAGAAGTCAAGGAACCATGGAGGGGTGAAAGGATGGCTTCACCGCTCTCTAAGAATCAGTCTCCAAGAGCCTTCTGTGGAGACCACAGGTTGGGAGTCAGTGCTCATGATCATGTAAAGCGATTCTGTCAATACATCCAGACATTCCTCAACGGTATGTAGTGGAATAAACTTAAATTTTGAGTCCCAAAGCTACAGTTTTCAGAAGGACCCCTCAGATCCCAGAAAGATCCCCACCAAGACTGTTGGCAGAACAGCACCCCCACCACTTGATGAACCCACAAGCCCTGCAACATTTACCCGCCAGTGGCCTTAGCCCTCACTGCTCTTTATCCTGAGGTAGTAAATTGGAACTTATTCCTGCAGCTGCTTTAAAACATTTTCAACTGGAAACAAAATGAAAAATAAATGTTAAGGGCCATCAAAAACAGAAACAGGACTCTTTCAAATTTGGGTAGGAATGTAGTTTTCATGTGTACCTATTCTCTAGGTCCCCTGAAAGCTGGGCTTTAAGGATCTAAGCTGTGGCCACAGCTCCAACCTACTCCATAAACCACACAAACTGAATAATGACTGGGACATTTTTACCTTCAATTCCAATGCGAATGTTTTTCAGGCCCCGTTCCTTTAACACTGTTTTAGCAACATCCCGATTCTCAATATATTTGAAGAATCTATAGAGCTTGGAGCTATAAAGAACTGGAAAAAATAAATCTGGGGTTAGTCATGGAGCAAAGACCCCCTTCGTAAGAGGAAAGAGATGAGCTAACAGAATCAGACTAATGAAAGTTATATCTCTTTTGGCCCTGATGCCAAAAAAAATCCAGATGGATCACAGATTAAATATTAAAAAATGAATTAACCATAAGAAAGAAACCATACAAGAAATTTTTATAGTCTCAGAGTAAGGAAGGCTTTTCTGGGTATGACATAAAACCTAGAAGCCATAAAAGAAAAATTGGTACACTCACCTACATAAAAATACAATGAATGTCTCTACTTAGCCAAAACCACCATTATCAAAGCTAAAAAGACAATCAACTGGGGAAAATATCTGTAACTCATAAAGGGCTAATTTCCTTACTGTCTATAAAGAGTGGTCACAAACGAGCTTTTACAAATCACTAAAAGACTAACAATCCAATTTTGTAATGGGCAAAAAATACAGTTAACAGAAAAGGAAATTAAAGTGGCTCTTAAACATTAAAAAGGTATTTAATCTCATACATGAAATGAGAAATGGAAATTAAAAGTCAAGTGCTTTTTTAACAGTGGAAAAAATAAAAGTTTAGGAAAACACTGTTTTGGTGAGGGTGAGGAAAATCTTCATATATTGTTTTGTGAGGACAATTTTGTAACATCTATCAAAATTATGAAAGCACATAGCTTTTGACAAATTCCATTTCTAGGAATATTATTCTATAGAGATATACATGTGTGAAAAGACTTTGTTTAAAAGGCTATTCATTGCAGCATAATTTATAACTTATAGTTTAAATGTCCATCAACAGAGCTGGTTCAATTATGGCACAATCATGCAATGGAATATGATACAGCTATAAAAAAAAAAAGATCATGGAAGCTTTTTATGTAAGAAATGGTATAGAACAGTCTGTATAATACGGTATCATTTGAAAAAAAGGGGAAAACGTATATAATCGCTTATGTATGTGCACTGAATACATCTGGAAGGACATAAAAGAAACTTGAGAAGGAAAACTGGGTAGAGGAGGCAGGGGTGGGAACAAGACTTCTCAATGTATATCCTTCTGGACTTTTTGAATTCTGAATTATTACCAATTCAAAAGAATTTAAAACAAAATGAATGGAGAGAAGAAAGACATCACCATTTAATGTGCTGCCTCAGCACTGACACAGTACCAGACACCAGTGGTAGCAATGGAAGGTATAACAACTTTCACAATATTCCCTAGCATGAAAGTTAACCTGCATCACTAGACTGAATTGATCATCCAGGTGATTGTGCTCATTCATCACTGGCTTGACAGTGATATTCATGCTCAGTCTAGAATATAGCTGCTACTCTAAGTAGCATGTTTCTTGCTTAAAAACATCTACATCATGCAAGTGGCTCCTACTTTGGGAATATTCCTCCCCCATGGGTGGGGGGTGGTCTTCATCCCAGTCTACAGAATCCTCATCTGTCAGCACAACGATGTGGCACTCTCGTTCCCCTTTCTTGGCACAGCCCACCATGATAGGCAGGATTAGTTCTTCGAGGTAGTGATCAAATTGCTTGTGAGCACCGTCATTAGACAGTTCATGCAGTAAAGCACCTGGGGGGAGAAAATTCAGATGAACATCCTCTCTGCCCAAGTGTATTTATTACTGGAGTGAAAAAGGCTATTGGATAATAGCTGTTATCATTGATAAGTTCCAGAGAAGAGACTCATTTAAAGGCACAGATTGTTTCCTGCTCCAAGGCAATAATTAAACTGATTTTGTTAAATGTTTCATATTCTACTACGCTTCCATTTCCTCATGTTTAATAATCCCTGAGCATTCTGATCAATGAAAGTTTTGTTAGACATACAGTGTCATACCATAAACATTAATTCTTCAAGGGCCAGAACCATCATTTGGGGATGACTCTTTGTAGTACCCATTCTGAAGATGCTCTCGATGCCAATTTCATGGAGTCAGAGTACCAAAGAACCTGAAGCTTGGCAAAACCAAGGCACTTACTCTAAGTGTGTAGTAGACCTAGTATAGAAACCTCAAGTCCAGAGAACTTCATGGAATATGCAGGGAAATGTATCATGAACTTCAAAGAACAATTTAAAAATAATTTTAGGAAGCCTGGGTAATGATAAGAACATGGAGTTTGTAGACGGACAATCAGTTCTAATTTCAGCTTAGAGCTCTGAACAGGCTAATTTCTCAGTCTTATTTGTTAAATGAGTTATCACCCATTTTTCAGGGTTAATTATAATAAGACTTCTGCAAGTTCACATCTATAAAGCACTTAGCAAACACTAAGTTAATAACAATGATAAAAAATAATTGTAAAAAGAACTCAGCCAGTTTATGCTATTTGTCTTTATTAGTAAAGCTTCCTGCGTATCTGAGAATCTGTATCATTATTTGTTAAAAGGCTGAAATGCCAAAGTCTCAAGAGGGAAAGGAAATAGTTTGGTGACTTAAGGGTCAAGTTAGATTTAAAATCCACTACACGTTCCCTTTTGTTCATTTACTCTGCTTCCTCATAGTATTTTGAAGCGAGAGAGGGAATGGGTTCGTATCACATCTCGGCCTCTGCAGGTGGCTTTCAACCCACACTTGAAACTCTTTCTGTTTAGTTAAAATTACCAGTCAATTCCAAGCAAACTCTAAGTTCAGCTGCTTCTGCACTTACTCAGATCTTGACATCGGATAGTATTGAAGTCAAAGTTAATGCAGAGATAATCACACGTATCTCTAAGGTCTGGGATAGAGATGCCATCAGGACAATTGATGATACCAGTTTTGTAATAATCCTATAAACAGATTAGGAAGAAGAAATGTAAGCAAAGAACAAGATGAAAAATTACTTCTTCAACCCCCTATTCATTCCTGGTTCTGTTAAAGTGATGGGTTACTAGCACTACCACCAAGTTGGTCGATTCATTAGATAGTAAAGTGGCTCCTGGCTATCTTGACATGTTTAATCACTATTTGATACCTGATTGAGCTCACACAGCAAGCCTTAGAAGTTACAGGAATGTGAAATAAAGCTGGAAAGGCAGTAACTGAAACTAGAGACCCCGAAAGTCAGTAATACACTCTCATGGAACTCTCGGGCTTCTGACCATGCAGGCCCCTGGGGGAAAAGGATGTAAATAAAAGGCTACTACATACCAATACTGTTCGAAATACAGTTGCACTGATTCCTTCAGCAATCTCATACTCTCCCTTTTCATTGGGCCGTGTGAAGTTGTACTCTCTTCCTGGTCCAAACATCCTAAAAGACACCCAGGGAATAACGTTACCTTCTCCAGCAGGATTCTTCACAGATGAGACTTCTTTCTTCACCTCATTCTGGAAGACTCCATTTTACCCTCTCCTAGTGTAAGTTAAACGGAGTGCTGGGACCCAACCCCTATAAAATGTACTCAAGGCTTAGGAAACTCCCTTCAGACAGGAAAGACAGCCATTGCTTTCAGCATTCGAGTACAAGGAGGAATGAAGCAGCAAGTCCTCACAGTTTGCCTGTGGTGAGCTTCTGTGACAGCAAATGCAGTAAAACAGCATCTGCAGAGTTGGCCCTTAAAATCTCTGGAGTGCGTGAGGGTTGCCTCTCATGCTCCCCACACTGCCCAGGACTCTGCCTGTATACACACTGGGCAGCTCAGGAGGTCAGAGTGTCTCATGCTCCTGACCTTTCCTCTCCTCTACCAATATTTACCTATCCAGTATGCCAGTCCTCAATATTTCTGAGTTTTGCTTTTCAACATCTAATCTGATAGATGAATCTGTATGAGTAGGTGCAGATGTTAATGCTTTCCTTTTTCTCATATGTTTTAATGGTGGAGCTCTGGAAAAAAATGTCCTTTGATTCAAGGAATAACTTAAGCTCAGAATTTCAGGTCAAGTAGAAAATGAGACTAGGTATTAGGCTTATCAGCAGTTTGATGTATTTCAGAGAGGCAGGCCTGCTCTGGGCATGAACTCAGAGGTCATGAGGAGACAGGGAGGAGGTCTTGCTTTTCTTATTCATCTTTTCCTATCCTTCCTCCCTTCTCTCAGATCCCCTCTAGTAAAACTGGCCCCATGACTTCTACTACTACTGTTGCACTTCTATATATGAGCTGTGGAAAGAGAAGCCAGCACGAAGGACAGGGCAGACAGTTGCTATCTTCAGCCAGCCTAATATGAGTTCCTAGTAGGGACTCACTGCCATTTCCTTCCTTAAATTGCTGGGAAGCCATACTGTTCAACTATTTGAAACTGTTATCCTCCAACCCTGAATTGGCTGCTTTTCAAAGGCCAGAAAAAGACTCCATATCACATGCTTTCCAAATCACTACACCATACATAAGAAAGCCATCCCGATAAAAACAGTCTTCAAAGAATGCTGACATTTTTTGAAACGTTCTGGTTGAAGTCTAGCTGAGACAGCCATGAATTAAAATAAGATGCCATAAATATAATGCCCTTATCATTAGCAGAACCTAAACTCAGAGTTATTTATCTAGTAGTGGCATGGATTTGCATTAATCCATTCTCAGTTTCTCAGCTTGTCGCCTTTGTGACTAGTGGCCTGCATATGTAAGCTCACTGGCTAGGGTTACAAATACTGTATGCAGCCACTGGACAGACCAAACCTAAGTAACTCAGAATTCATGACCTTCGCTGATTCAGTTAATAAACTATTTAGATAAAGAAATCAGATTTTTTTCTTTATGGGACAACCCATTCCTAAATTCAAAGAACCAGTCACCCAAGAATCTTTAACCCCGAAAATGCTGACCTTTCTTCTCTTTCTCACCACTTTCAGAGGAAACCTACCTCAAACAGCCAGCCTGCCCCGAGGAACACTTTAGGTGGGGCTGGGGGTGGTGCTGTGGGGGCGAGTAGTGCAGATGACACCAAAACTGAGGTCAGGAAATCAAGTCTGATGAAATACAGGGCCAATTTAGAAAATGTTTTTATGTCTTAGTTTAACTTTAATTCAGATGTTTGAGAAATATATAGATTTGGTTTTGGTTAAAATGATTCATTGTGAATTTGTATATATCCAAAAATACACATTTTTGAATAGCTAGATCCCATATAAACTAAAATTCAGCAAATTAGTGTGGTCCATTCTGATTTCTAACTCAGTTGAAATTAGTTCAATATCCTGAGTGAGGTTAGATCTTTAAATAAGATCAACTTAATTTGCCGTTCTTCAAGTTAAGGTCTATGATCAGCCACAGAGGATCTCCTAACTCCCAGCCCAGGCTCCAAGAGTATTTCTGGACAGTGCTCCTTCTAAGCAGGCTCCTTCCACTTCCTAAACTCTAACCCTAAAAAGCTGGGGGCAGGAGATGGCAGGAGGAAGATAAGATTATAGTCTGAATGAAACAGCACAGAGAATGGAACATGAAGAATAAAGAGAGCACTCATAAAACTATAAAACAGCCAGCTATAAAGATTCTATTTCAGAAAACTTAGTGATAGAGGCTTTAAAAAATGACAGCATAACATCTATTGCCAAGCATAAATGGCAATAGATGGCAGGCAAACTAATGCTTTTTAGTGAAATGACTTTGTTCTTGTATCATGTGAAACATTTGTCTAATTCTAATTTGTATTAAAAGACAGAAGACAAAAAAACGAACATGACTTACAGATCTTACCACATCCCAGCATCTTCGGCTTGTGGAACTCAGAAAACATGGCCTTTGTGAGGTTATACAAATTGTGGGTAAAAGAAATCAAGTATCTGACTTCTGCTTTAGAGTAAGTTTACAGAGGAATAGGGAATAATATTTAGCAGATTATTTCCCATAGTTCTGATTTCACTTCCCTTTGTTCACTATCCTGGCTTTGTAAAATAAGAAGCCCAACCCCAAATCACCAAAATATATAATAACGATTTTTACCAACTTGCCCTGTCTCACCAAAGCATTAAGGTAGAAAAATCAGCAGTACAGTGCTTTTTATGCTCATACCTAATGCAAGATAAACAGCAGGTATTTCTATTCATAGACAACAGAGTACATTTGGAAGGAAATTATCAATTACCTTCCCAACATGGTATCCGGATGAGCAGTGAAAATTTGTGGATTCACAACAAAACGTGTGCCATCTACAAGAAGTGTCACTTTCTCTGGTGCCTGGGAATGAATGTTAGTGCCAAAGCCCACAGTGCTGTTTCCAAATCGTTCTGGACCAATAAAGGGTTCATGGTTCCGTTTATTCCCACTCTGGAAGCAGGAGCTTTTGATGTCTTCGGGAAGTGACATTATATGAGGAAACTGAAGATTTGCTGGCTGAGAGGCATAGTCATGTGAAAGGTCTAAAAGATCATACAAACAAAGCAAAATAATTTGATAGCAAACAGTCTTGGGGAAAAATAAACCCTGTCTCCTTAAAAAAAAATTTTAAAAGCCACAAATTTTTAGGGGTTCACAGGCAAAAACTCTTGCGTAGAGCAAGTAAAGAATACAAAAGAGACTTATAGTGGATCCCCTGAGCTGTTTTCTCTAAGTGCACTAGGGACGGAGGAAAGAAAGACAGTAATGCCCACACTTTAGAATAAAATGGCTAAACAATTTTCAAGTAAACTACATACATGTTAAAAAAACCAGCAATCTCCTGTCCCCTGCCATACTTCATGACCTCTCCCAGTCTTGTTTCACAGAGGCAATCACTTTTTACTTCTGTTTTCACTTCTGTCTCTAAATAATACTCATATTTCCTGTGTTTTACTTAAGGAACCTGCTACCTCTGTGTGCTAAACTATTCATTTTCCACATTCTTCAAAAATTGTTTCTAAATTTTATTTTCCAAAAGGATAATGATAGTTTCCAATTGTCTAATTCATCACTTTTCCTAGAAAATCACAGAAAAATGCATTTTCACAATGCATAAGAGAATCCTAACATCACCAACACCATTTTTGAATAGGCAGGTCTTGCTCTCAGCAGCAAAGTTTCAGTGCATGGATTAGGATTCATGTAAGGAATCTCAGTTTTTGTTCTAGTATCACCAAAGAGCCATTTTCTTTAAGCAATTTATTTTTTCTAAACCTGGTTCATCGTCTATAAAATGAGAATAATGTTCATTCCACCTACCTAACAGAATTGTTTTGACTATCAACTGAAAGAAAGTATGTAAGAGCACATAAAAATGTGCAATACTATATTGTGAATTACAGGCTTAAAACTAAATATATGAAATCTGGATGTCTACAGAAGACAAGCAGGAGCAAGTATTTACAAAAGGATTACACCAGAGGATTCTTTTAAATAGAGAGTCCTAATATATTTTATTTCAATGTAAAAAAATGTTTTTAAAGAAATTTCAAATATACTAAAGCACAGGGTTAATATAAAATATATAGCCCATTACCTAGATTTGGCAAGCTCAGTTAACATTTTTCTACATTATCTTAAAATTTTTTTAAATAAATAAAATATTATAGGTATAACTGAATGTCTCACTCTCACCTATCCTGTATTTTAAATCTGTATATGATATTTCATGAACATGATTACTGCCCATGACCTGTGGGAAATTAGTCTGATTTCAGCCACTTAGATAACCAACTGAATTGTAAGCTAGAGTATACTCAGTTTTTTTCTCATTTGCTTCTAGACCAAAAACCTACCTAGAGTTCACATTCTATAGCTTCTATAGGATGTAAATTTTCAGTGTGACCCTATGTATACCAAGAGCTACATTTCCACACAATCCACAGGCAAGTTTGTAACAAGAAACACTTTAATCACCAAGATAGGCTTTCACACTGGAAGTAGGTATCTAAATCAATGAAAATGAAAGTACGTATCTAAATCAATAGTTCAGTTATTTAGAAAGCCTGATGTACCCTCCAGCATTGAGGCAATTAAATTGGGTTGATTAATGAAGGATGTCTCAGGTTCTACCCTGCTTAAATGGGTGAGCAGGAAGAGACTCATTGCACAAATTTTCCCTAACAGTATACTCTAGGGTGACAGTCAGTCTGCTTTTCTGTCAGTTGCTCTATATAAAATAGCACAGCTTGATCAGAAAGACACAGGTTCAAATCCTAGTCCCCTATGTCCTAGCAGTGTGAGCCTGAGCAAGTTACCTAAGTTTTTGAAGCATGTATCCTCATTTTTAAAAGGAGGAGAAATCTAAGAAGGGATCGGCAAACTTTCTGTAAAAGGCCAGAATGTATGTATTTTGGGCTTTGTGGGTCACAGTCTCTGCCACTGTAGCAGGAAAGCAGCCATAGACAGTATGTAAACAAATGGGCATGATGGCTGTATCTCAAATTTTTATTTATAAAAACAGGCAGCTGTCCAGATTTGACCACTGTTGCCACCCTTGATTTAAAAAAATGTATGTAAAATTTCTAGCACAGTGAGTGCTCAATAAATAGTAACTGCTATTATTATTGTTGCTATGGTCTTTATTGAAAGTTAAAAAGAACCTAACAGTTTATCAAGAGGCTGCACATCCATTAACTCAATGATCTTCCAGCCTTGTGAGGTAAGAAGAATATTAATATCCCTGTTTTCTAGATTAAGAAAGTGGGGCTCGGAAAGATTAAGGATCTCACCCATGGTTAAAGCTGATACGTAGCAGAGCTAGAATATGAATCTGCCGTCTGACTGCAAACCCATGACTATTTTTCTTACACTATTATTGCCAAGTTAGATGTGCTAGACTGATTAAATAAATGGAGATTTTCTGTGATGGTTAGCTTATATAATTGTGATATGTAAGCTAAGCCAATTAATTGGATATTTTATTCAGATTAAGAACATTTATATCTTCTGGGTAGAGTGGATGTTCAGGTGTCAGAAAGCCCTCCACATTAAGTCAGAAACTAATTACCATACCATCATTCCTGGGACCTAGAGAATAAGTAAGATTTTGAAGACCAGAAGTCAGGCTGTTTGTTTCTTTTTCTTGGGCTGCAGCTGAGGTTTCATCCATCAGGCAGTTGGCCTCCTGTCGCAATAACCTGTTGCTCTCACTGTCACGGTGAACACTCATCCTTGGACTCTATGCTCAACTGTCTGCTTGATCAGAAAAAAATCCTGGAAGACAGGAATACACATAATTTAGAACTCTCTCAAAATAGGTTTCCAAGGACTTCCATGTCATGAAAGACAAACTAAAGAACTAACAGACAGCCCTCATTCTTATTCTGAGAAGAAATATCTTCGACATTTCTGTGATTTTATACTGAGAGGAATTGGGCTGATTTAAATGGTCTTTACCAAATCACTAAGAATGTTGATAAATCTGTTACTAGGGAATAATTTTAAGCTCTATCCATAAACAGACATCAAATGCACTGACTTTGGCCATATACATGATCAACATTACATATTAAATGGTGGTGTGATAATTTGGTGTTTATACCATAGATATATAGGAGAGTAGAAACTAGAAATCACCTGCAATAAAAAAAAACAACTACAAAATTTTACTTATTTTGCTCAAGTTCTCCTTTATAAGTTCTCTCACTTTCTGTGCTTTATGCGCAACCCTCAATCCCACCTCAAACTCACAAGATGTCACTGGTTATAAAGCTAACTCCCCCAAGCAGCGCAAGATCATCATGAACACTACCTACTGAGTAAATGCCATGTGCAAGGTATTTGTTGATTAGGCAGAATGGAGAGGCTAGGCAGGAGCCTTCATACCTTTCTTCCAGGTAGTCATGCTCTGCAGCCCTTCCATCCTTGGGGGCTACCCGACTACTGAAAACATTCCTGAAGTTCACCCTACTAGTAATTTCATAGTTTATACTGTACTGATTTCCACCTGGTGTTTAGGTGGAAGAATCATCTTACATCACCAGCAATTTTTATGCATATAGACTGTAAGCTAACTCCAATTTAGAAAGAAGTTATTAAGCACAATAACATGTTTTAATACTCTGAATTTTCCTGACATGCAAGCATGTAGGGGTGCTATAAACATTTATAATGTGAATTAAATTTTGAATCCCTTCATAACCTGTATTAACACATTTTTGAGCATAAAGTTGACTGATCAGTTAGTCCCTGTTTTAACTTGGATGAAATATAAAAATGACCACTTTGAAAAGATGAGTCAATACATGTTCCTGAAAACAAATTATTTTAGAGAAGAGGTACTTTCAGTTGATGAATTTTTTTATTTTCAGACAACAGCTCTTAAAACATCCAGCAAATTGAGGCAATAAAGTGAATGTTCTGATAGAAAATTTGGTATGTGGCTACAGCTTTTTCAGGATTACCCTTTCTTAAAGAAAAAACATATCTACACACACACAAAAAGTGCATGGTCCTGGGGATTGGTGAAATCGAATAGAACCACCATCAACTGTCCTCAAATTCTATTTGGAAGATGTCAAAATGAGGTCTAAAGAACAGGATAAAGAAGATTGATGGAGTTGGAAAGAGCATTATTACCAAAAATGGAAAGACCAAAAGGGGGCCTGCTTCTTTAGGCTTAACTGGTTTTGAACTACAATGTTTCACTCAGTTTACAACTGCTGCTTCTCAGCTCTTCACTAGCTGCTCAAGAACCAAGTTCAAACTTCTTTGTTGCTTTCCAAAAAATCTCTTAGACCAATATATAATAAGCTTGCATAAGCCTAGCTCTTGAGAATGTGCATAGCCTAGACGATTTGTGTAAGTTACTTTATTCCTTTTAATGTACCAAAAATAGTTTCATTATAATGAAACTATTAGAATGAAAGCATTTTCTTCCTATTCTATAGAAGAAGTCTTCAAAATTAAGTTTAACTTGTATACAGTGAATTAATAAATATAAAGATACACTCGGAATTAGCAGAGTACATATCTCCAATGAGAGAAAAGAAAGTAACTAGCTAGACATTAATAGTCATTTGATTTGTATTCAGTTAATTTTTATTACAAATAATACATGAATATTTCCCTTCTTAAAAAAGACCCTTTGATCATCACCCCCAATTCTAGTCACTTCTGCAAATAACTATCACTACTTGCTTGGTATGAATCCTTTTAGACTTTATAAAAATACATTTATACTACACAGATATACTGGTAAAAGCATATAATTTTTTAAAAACACACAAACTATATTCTATATGCATCATTCCCATTCTGTAGTTTTTCTAAATTAATGTTTTTGAGATCCATCCATGTTGGAAGATCAAGATCTAGTCCATCCCTTTATAACTGCTGAATAATATCCTAAGTCAGCACTCTTATCAACCAATATGTAAGTTTTTTTGACTTAACTATTACTACAAACAATGCTTTAATGAACAAGATTAAAGTGTACTATGAAACTCCAAGAGAGGATCCAGTGTGCAGAGTTTTCCCAAATGGATTTGGCTTCGGAACTCCTTTTTTTAAGAAACCATCTCAGGATTAATGCTTATTGGCACACACTTTAAGAAATCACCTAATCCAACATTTCTGAAAGTCCCCTATAAACTAATTGCTCTATAATCCTTGAATGACAGAACAAAACTTTCTTGACCTATGAAATGTAAAAAGTAAACGTGACTGATACCAAGTTCTTCAACATATGCCAGAGCAGCCAGTTGAAACTTAATAGTAAGGGTCTACTCCCCTTACAGGATGGCTGTTTCATTTAACTTTGAGTGTATATTTTCATTGCCTACCATGGTTCAATTCTGTAACCATCCCCCAAATGAATCTTGGTCCTCAGAACAGATCTAAGGAAAAGAAATAAGCAAAGCACTTCGACAACAGAGTTCTCTATTGCTACAAAACTATTTTTGGCCAACAGTCCTAAAAGTCATAGTAATGTACAATTAGAAGAACCAAAGGATCATGACATCCCTGGCACACCTAACAGTAACTGAAGAGACTGCTCCAGAAAAGAACTAGGAGTTAGACATATATTAATGAAACTCAAGACTGTATTGCTATAACGCAAAGAAAACTTAATATCCAGCAAGCCAGCTCAAGCTTCACTTCTATGACGCACACGAAAGCATTTTTTTTGATATTCAAATTTTATTAGTTTCAAGTATACACTACATCGGTTAGGCATTTATATAGTTTATAAAACGATCTCCCTAATTGCTCCTTCTCTCTCGTTTTCCACCTAGCCAATGTATTAATGCTAACTGCATTTCCTATGCTATGCTCTCCATCTCCGTGACCATCTATTAACTACTGATTTGTACTTCTTTAAGCATATGGCACAGGGCCAAGTGCATCAGAAGTTCACGGGTGACTTCTGGCTATCGTAGATGGTCCGTAGATTTCCCGAGGTACAAAAGAATGTCGCCAATGTTTGCGTAGTGAAAAGTTGGCTGGAGGGGCACTCATAAGAGTGGTATATTTATTCTACAGATCTCCTATGAAGGCCCATATGTTGTTTTTGATTCAAATATTTTATGTTGTTTTTTGTAAATTTATTTATTTAAATTAGTTTCAAGTATACAGTACATTGGTTAGACATCTATAATGTTCATAAAACGATCCCCCCAATTTCTCCCTCCTTCCCCTGGCCCTCCACTTAGCCATCATATTAATGCTAACTGCATTCCCTCTGCCATGCTCCCCATGCTCAACCATCAACTACTGATTTGTACTTCTTTAACCCTTCACCCCAATTCTCCCAGCCTCCCATCCCCCTCCCCTATGTCCGTGAAGGCCCATATTTTTGTTAAGTCTTGATTTTGTTGATCTGGAACAGCAAAACATTTAGCATCATAATCTCATCTTGGAAAATTTACATACGATCTTTGATAGAATTAGTTCCACATATTCCTTGCACTTAAAAAAGGATACACTGGTTTCTCTTTAGAACATAATCATCTTGAGTATTAATCCAAAATAATCTCTACATAAGTTAATGTATTTTCTTCTTACTTTCAGTTTCCTCTAATCAATTATTTATGAGGAAAACAAGATAATTACACAAATCACTGTTCCATTAAGTTCACTATCATGCCACTGAACAATTCAGATTTAAAAAATCTAATTGGAAAAAAATCTAGTTGCAATGCAATCAAACTTAACATGGATGCATCTCAAAAACATAATGCTTTCAGACTGTTATGGTACAAGGATATGAGCTTTTACTTCAGGGCCATGTCTCTGCTCTGTGTAAGAGCTAGGTGGTGAAGATGTGGTAGAATGCCACAGAATTTGGTAAAACCAATGTACACTTCATCTATACTCCAAATTTAGAGAGTAATTACACTTTTGCCAAAAATTCATTTCAGACTGACAAATCGTAGTCTTTTCAGTCTGTTCTTATGTGAAAATCACTACACACTACATTTCTTTAACTTCTCTAATTGTTTGTCATTGACTTTGGTCTAGTTCTATTATGCTTTTTTTTCTTTACGCATAGTAATGAGAACCCTGCTAATGTTTTCTATTAGAGGTGAGAAGGTTCAGTTTTGCTTCACGTATGCTCTCTGGTGATATCCAGGATTTCTGGGAATAGGTTAAAAAGGGGTGAAGGTAGGGAAGAGACAACAGAGGTGATAGATACAATCTAAAATGTGTACAGGATCACCTTCTAGGATGTTATTGATAGCTAAGAGACTGTCATCTTCGAAATGGTGTGTATGTGTGTTGTGTGTATTTTTTAAACCAACTTCACTGAAGCTTTTCTATCATGGTTCTATGCACTCCCTTTGCATGTGCAGCCCTAACGTTCTAAGCTCAAAAAAAATTCTGTCTTCTGACTATTTAAGGCTTTCTGCTTTTCCTTTTTCCAGATTATTTCTAAAAATATTGAGTAAGACTATTCCAGTAGTAAGCCCATATAAACTCTATTAACATTTCTAAATCTTGGAGTTTTCCTACCTTATGTCCCCAAACTCATAATAATTTAGCTGTTTGAGTTAGCAAAAAGAAAGACCCTTGTTAGTAAGTTAATTCCACTGGGTCCTCCCTTCTCACTTGAGGAGGACTTACTGTGTCTTCCTCTAAGAACTCTGGCACACTGGTGAGACATGAATACTTCTTAGAGACCTCTTGCTACATTTCTCCCCATGTATGATCTTCCATTATGGCTCTACCTTTTATAACTGTGGCCCTGGGCAGGTTCCTAAGTCTCTCTGTATCTCAACTTGCTCACTTGCAAGAGAAGATAATAACCATTAACCACACAGGGTTGGTTAAGTTAAATGAGGTAATACGTTTAAAGTGCTTAGAATGCTGCATGGCACATAGCATTCAATAAATGTTTATTGTTATTATTCCCAAACCATACAGTCTACAAAGATCTTTTACAAACCTAATCTTATTTAATACTAAAACAATCCCAGGGGAGAGATTTTTAATTATCCTCACTTTACTGCTGAAAAAAAAAAAAAATAAAGCTTTAGAGAAGTTAGCAACTTGCCCCAAATCACACCTCTAGCTAAGAGACAAAGACAGATTCCAAACTTAGGTCCTTAGATTCTTACATTCTTTCCAACCAATCACACTGGTTCCCTTAAGCCATCTTGCCTTTCATCCATTATTGAACGTAAGAGTTATTCCTTCTATTGTTTGTCAGAAATGAAAGAGAAAACCAGGAGTTTCCAGGGTCACTGCTGCTGCGGTTCTTATCAAATAGGAATTATGGTAGTAAATGCAAGAAACCTGTGACAGAATGATTACATCTTTCTATTAATAAAATAGCATTCATTTTACTGCTTATAAAAATATGCTCATTAAAAAAAAATTCAGTCACTATAGAAAGATACAAATATTGAAAAATCAACAAAGTTGTGGTAAAATCTTTGCACACAAATCTTTGGGCATCTACCCTTTTGTATCCTTGGAATGAACTCCTAAAAATAAAATCACTATGGAAAAAGGAAAATAATTTTTAAGTTTTGTTATGTACTATTAGATTATCTTTTATATATATACCAATTTACACTCCTTCCAGCAGCATGGAGTACCTATTCTCCAGAACCCTTGCTAAAAGTCAGTGTTTCAGTTTTTTTCATCTTTGTTAATCTGTGAAATATGATCTCATTCTAATGTGATCATTTAAAAAGCCATTCATTTTCAGCAATACTTCTAAAATTTCACCTTTGAGAGCCCTAAAAGCTTTGCGTGTGTAGGAAAAAAAAAACCAAAAAAACAAAAAAACAAACAGGCTGGGTGGATACTAGTAATAGCTGTGATTTATTCATATCGAGTTTGTCAGGCTTTACTGGAATCACTGGAAGTTTCCCAAGACTTGCTTACATCTCCCAAGAAGTCTGTGAGAGGACAACAAGATAGGACAAAGACAACCCATCATACCTTGTTGGTTCTGGCTTTGGCTTTATTAACTAGCCACATCGCCAAGAAAATGTCCTTTAAGCGTCAGTGTTTTCATCCATAAAAATGAGATGCTATGTGCCACTACTAAATTAAGATGTATAGAAAAGCCCTCAAAAAGCATAAGGTTGGGGTTGCTGTGTGGGTCTCAGAGGGTGGCTCCTCTGGAGTGTGGCTTGCGCTCACTGAGGCGGGACCTCGGGGACAACAGTGGAGGGAGATAATCGCAGCACCAATGTGCAGGCTGCAGAGACTGCATGTCTGGAAGAGCAGCTGCAAGGATGGAGAGAAGTAATGCTGATGGCCGATAAAGTCCTGCGATGGGAAAGAGCCTGGTTTCCACCTGCCATCATGGGTGTGATTTCATTGGTGTTTCTGACTGCCTACTATCTAGATCTATCTGTCCAGTGTTTCCAGTTTTGTTATGTTTTTGTGCTTGGCTGACTACCTTATTTCCATTCTAGCGCTTAGAATTTTTGGCTCCAATAAATGGACCACTGAGCAACAGTAGAGATTCTCTGAAATCTGCAGCAGTCTAGTAAAAACTCAATGCAGAGCTGTGAACTGGTGGAAACGCTTCTTCACACTGGAAGAAAAGCCGACAATGTACTTTGTGACCATGACCGTGACTCTTGCTGTGGTTGCCTGGCTGAGATGGCAAGTCCACAACCTTCTTATGCACCTGACAGCAACTTTCTTACTGCTGCTTCCCAGACTAAACTAACGTGGAATCATTTTGAAGTACAGTGGAATGGCCAAAAGGGAGATAAGCTTCTCAAACAAAAAGAAAAATGAATACATTTGCCTTATTCAGTGTGATTAATGGTGTATACATTGTCCTCGGGACCAGTTTCTGTAATGCTCTCTGGATACTAAAATGTTACAGAAGTCGCTCTTTGCTTGCCCTCCGCCTGCCCTTAGTTACTAGAAATTCAGACTTGCCAACTAAGGCTTTATGCGGTGTCTTCATGTCAAGTGTAGCTGAGTGCATTCTCATCAACTGGCCTTATATGGACAGCTCATTCACAACTATCACTTGTTTTGATTTTTCTCACCCAGGGTTAATTGAATTCTTACTTTTAGGCACCTTCCTTTAAAATAATATAGTGGTGAACTTCACCCTTTAGTATGGTTAGCAGTGACTTTGGATAACTGAGTTGACCTTTGCTTTAGCTAGATGTAGATGTGGTGGTCTGTGGCTACAGGAAGCTGGTTATACTGACTGCTTCCACAGTCTGCTTAAAAAACTGGCTTTAAGAATAGAGATAGAACTTAACACTTCGATAAAGAGACTAATTAAGATGCATTCCTCATTCTGTTTCTAAACCATGGGAGAAAAATCCTCATGGAATAAAATGCAACTAGTTCCATACCCTAGTATGTATTGTTTCTTCTTCATGCAAAACTGAGCAATTTGTAGGAAACATTG